TTTTAGTACAAGTGCAGTAAAAGAACGTACACTTTGCAAGCGTAGTGAAGGAAGTACACTTTGGCAGCTCCGCCTCGAAAGTCGCAACTTTTCAGTGCAAGGGGAGTACGCAAAGTGCACTTTGGGCGCTCCAACTCGAACGTCGCGACTTTTAGGTACAAGCGCAGTATGCTCCGGCTGGAAAGTCGCAACCTTTCTGTACAAGTGTAGCAAATAAAGGAAGAACACTTTGGCAGCTCCGGCTCGTATGTCACAATTATTCAGTACAAGTGTAGTCAAAGAAGTGCACTTTGGCAGCTCTGGCTCGAACGTCGCGACTTGTAGTAAAGGAAGTACACTTTGGCAGCTGCTAACTTCCTTACATACCGGGAATCCTGTACCTAAAGACATGCTTACTCGAGTTGTCAATGGCTTGGTAGCACTATCGTTCTTAAAGACTTCTGGCACGTTCTACTGCACATGTTGGTATGTCATGTCCAGCTCTTTACATCTTGGTCTTTGCTGGACGCTCAATTGAAGTTGATGCACTCAGAGTGAAGGTTGGTGGACTCCATCGGTGAATGAATCTGCTCGGAAAAAATGGTTTTCACTTCACTTCACAACTTAGTGTACAGTGCAACCATTCGATGGTGAATTCGAGTCTTTTTATTGACCAACCCCTTCTTTCTCCGGGAATCCTTCTCAGGAAGCCCGTACCATGTTTTGCGGGGTTTCGGCGAATTGTTTGTCTTATGAACCCATGTACTGTCGAACCCGAGTAAATGAACCCACCCTACTAATAGGGGGCGGTGTTCCCTGCAAAAGTGACAAACCCACCCATTCAAGGGGGACACCCCCTATGAAACAAATCTGATACACCCCCACCAAAAGGGGGCACTTTGTGATCAAAAATTATTCTCATGGCCGGTGCGCACGCAGGCCCCAGCCCCGCCTACGCCACCCGGCCAGGGTACCACGCCTTCTGCGAAGCGCTCCGCACGGAAACCTCAGCGCCTTCCAGGAGGGCGGCCTAGGACTCGGCGTCCGGACGGAGCTGGGACGCCTGGCAATCAAGAGCGCACTTGGCCTGGCAAAAGGGAAGGAAAGTCCCGAAGAGGAGACCGACCATTTTTTTTCTTGAGGCCACCCCCAAATCTTCTTCGGCTCTTTCGTGGGCTTTTCCTCGAAAACGCAACGAAGGTCCCGAACAAGGACACCCACACCTCTGGGAAGACCCATTTGGTCAGGCCCTTGTAAGTCACGTGTACGGCGCCAGGTAGCTCAGTTCCGTAGCCCGAGAGGGTTGACGTTGGAAGGGGAGCAACACTTTTAAAATCTTGGCAGCTAAGTAGTTGGAGTTCAACCAAACCACAAGAAGCAAACATGTAAAATGTTTCCCAACAACCATGAAACCTCTGTCACAAGACCATCTGAGATCCACTGATGAGCAGATGCACTCCAGACGCCCACAGTCTGACCCTTGGCCAGCATGGCGTGGTTTCTCACTTCAGCCAACCTGCCGCAGTGCGCTTCCTGCGCTCGTTGATTGATTCTCCAATGACTTGCTCAAGTTACCTGTGAACAAATATGGTACGGCATCGATGTCGTTGATCTGCGCTCAAAATTTGTTCATCTGGCTCATGGTCCTAGATGAAGCCACATGTCGTAAATTCACACGCCACAATTTGTCGCCAACAACTCCTGCTTCGCTGCAATTGCACAATTGCGGAACCTCTTGGCCTGCAACGAAAGCCGCGAAACTCTCAAAAACGCAGCACGATGTGATAGGCGCGCGAGAGCGTGGGACTCCTTTTGAACCGCTTCGGCCGCTGCTCCTTCGTTTCACAGCGGTGTTCGGCGGCCAGGAAAACGCCACAGGGAGTGCAGGATGGGGAGCGATTTGGGGAGCGATTTGGGTGGGGTGTCAAGAGGTTTGGGACCTTGGATGGTCAGGAAATGGAACACATGGAATGCCATGAGGCTCGCCAACCCGGCTTTGACCAAGAACTAGCCGCTCACGCACAGCTCGTAGTTTTTCTCCTCGTTGTTGTCCCACTCTGCCTTGGCCGTTTCTCGAAAAGCCCTGGAGGGCTGCCTGTACCAGTTCGAGAGCTGTCTGGAACAACCAGCCTCATTGCTGCCTTGCTTTGGTGCAGGGGGTAAAATGAATGGTGGGCATTCCCATGTTGCATGGGCCTCAAGCGGGGTGTACCAGCCGCAATGAGCTAACTTCCAACTGAGCGCTGCTCGCTTTGGTGCAGGGCCTCTGCTCTCAAGGTGTTCGCCCTTTATCCTAACCAAGAACCACACCAGCCACAACCAGAAAGACAAAGCAGGAATCCTTGGGATCAACTGGATCAACTGGTCTCAAGAAACAACAATTCAAACCCAGCAAGATCCTGAGCCAAGCACCAACAAGTGCTGCAAGGCGACCCACCAGTCTACCACGCCACACAGGCTTCGCATGCTTCTCAAGTTTCTGTCTTGCCTGAAGACACTCGCACTCGACAACTGATCGACAACTCTGCACAAGGCGGAGCATTTCTTGCTGGAGTTAAGCGCATCCTGGCTCAATCAGCCCAACACGCGCCGTTCAATGAACAGCGGATCCAAGGCATCTTGAGATACATGCTGCCTCCGCGCAGAAAACAACGAAAAGCCTCCTGCCAAGCCAGGCTTTGCCAGGTCTGGGCGTGAAAAAGGAAGTCCAAAACTGCAAAGCTTAGTCCACCCACTTCGTCAGGTAGTTGCTGCCCTTCAAGGCAGCCTCCACCTGAGCGCTCTTCATGGCCTTGTACTTGGAAAGGTCCTGGCATCAGGCAGCCAGTGGCCTTTAAACCTAATATATGGCAGCATGCAAAGGCCTACGAGCCTGAGCAAAGGTGCTGGTGACAAACACCTTCCCCAACAACAACGAACAACGCTCTAAAGTCTGAGCGACATCGTGCGGTCTTTATATGGGTGTTACAGTCCTTGGGGTTCTCCCACTCGAAGAACTTGATGCCATCCTTTGTCACTGCCTCTCGGCCGAAGTGGCAGTAGGCAGCCGTGTCCTGGTACTTCGGCTCGCGCAAAGCCAGCGACTGTGCAATGGCGCCAGGGCGGCAATCGAACTCGATCCTGGGTCCCGAAACGCCCAAGCCGGATCCGAAAGAATCTAAGAATGCTGAGTATCAAACATCTGCGGATGACTAACATGACTAACACAATTCTGTACAATGTAGAAGTTGTAACAGGCATCCGACTATGCAAAGCAGGGCTCTTGAGGACGTTGGTGATGTCGTCCACCGTGAGATCTCCCTTCTCGCTGCCGTAGGTCTCCACAAAGAGAGACAAAGGCTTTGCCACGCCGATGGCATAGGACAGCTGAACCAGGCACCTAGCGCTCAGGCCGCTGTTCACCACGGACTTGGCCATCTGCCGGCAAATGTATGCCGCTGATCGGTCCACCTTGGTTGGGTCCTTGCCCGAGAAGGCACCGCCGCCGTGGGCACCCCAGCCACCGTAGGTGTCAATGATGATCTTGCGGCCCGTGAGGCCTGCGTCACCCTGAGGACCGCCGATGATGAACTTGCCCGAAGGGTTGATGTGCAGGTGGGTGTGGCTGCCGTACAGGGTGATGGCGGACTTGCCGCTCTTCAGCGTGATGGACTCCAGCGTGCGCTTGATCACCTTCTCTTCAATCTCCTTGTTCATCTGCTCCATGCTGGGTGCAGTCATCTCTGTGCCCTTGTAGCCAGCGCACTCCTTGCTGCGCACGGCCTTCAGAGGCTCCGCGTGCTGAGTGGAGATCACCACAGTGTGGATCTTCTTGGGCTCCACGGAGCCGTCCGGGTGCTGCAGGTACTCGATGGTCACCTGGGTCTTGCCATCTGGTCGCAGCCACCAGCACTCCCCGCTCTTGCGCACATCGGTCAGGGTCTTGCCGAGCCGCGTGGCCATGGAGTGAGTCAGGGGCATGCAGTCCGAGGTCTCATCGCTGGCATAGCCAAACATGATGCCCTGGTCGCCTGCGCCCACGTCCATCTCATCCTTGCCCACGTGCACGCCGCCCGCAATGTCCGGGCTCTGCTTGTTGATGCGCACCAAAACTTCGCAGGTCTTGAAGCTCAAGCCCTTGCTGTCCACGCTGGACAGATCGTCCACAAAGCTGTCGAAGCCAATCTGCTCCACCACTCCTCGCACCACCTTGTCGTAGTCCAGCTTTGCCTGCGTGGTGATCTCGCCCGCCACCATGACCATGTTGTCCTTGGTCGCAGTCTCGCAGGCCACCTTGCTCTTGGGGTCCACCTTCAGGCATGCATCCAGAACCGCATCGGAGACCTGGTCGCAGATCTTGTCCGGATGGCCCTCGTTCACGGACTCCGAGGAGAAAAGGAAAGTGCGCCCGGTGCGCGCCTTCTTCGCTGCGGGCTCCGCCATGGCTGCTTGGGATGCTGCGGCGTGTGGGTGCAAAACTCTGACAGCTGCCTCACCCAGCCAACAGCGGCAGTACGCAGTTTCCCTGAGCATTCTCCACACTAATGGCCGAACAATCAGCTTGCCCGTGGCTCTCCAGTGCCAAGCAATTCGTATGCTGGCTAGTGTAATCCACGCTGGGTTTAATGACTGCCTTTTCAGGTTGCTTTGCCCGAAGCCTGGTGGAAATGCCAACGGAACCCCATGATGGCTTACCAGCCAGCAATCGACAACTGTGCACACGGCGGAGCATTTCTTGCTGGAGTCAAGCGCATCCTGGCTCAATCAGCCCAACACGCGCCGTTCAATGAACAGCGGATCCAAGGCATCTTGAGATACATGCTGCCTCCGCGCAGAAAACAACGAAAAGCCTCCTGCCAAGCCAGGCTTTGCCAGGTCTGGGCGTGAAAAAGGAAGTCCAAAACTGCAAAGCTTAGTCCACCCACTTCGTCAGGTAGTTGCTGCCCTTCAAGGCAGCCTCCACCTGAGCGCTCTTCATGGCCTTGTACTTGGAAAGGTCCTGGCATCAGGCAGCCAGTGGCCTTTAAACCTAATATGTGGCAGCATGCAAAGGCTTACGAGCCTGAGCAAAGGTGCTGGTGACAAACACCTTCCCCAACAACAACGAACAACGCTCTAAAGTCTGAGCGACATCGTGCGGTCTTTATATGGGTGTTACAGTCCTTGGGGTTCTCCCACTCGAAGAACTTGATGCCATCCTTTGTCACTGCCTCTCGGCCGAAGTGGCAGTAGGCAGCCGTGTCCTGGTACTTCGGCTCGCGCAAAGCCAGCGACTGTGCAATGGCGCCAGGGCGGCAATCGAACTCGATCCTCGGTCCCGAAACGCCCAAGCCGGATCCAAAAGAATCTAAGAAATGCTGAGTATCAAACATCTGCGGATGACTAACATGACTAACACAATTCTGTACAATGTAGAAGTTGTAACACACATCCGACTATGCAAAGCAGGGCTCTTGAGGACGTTGGTGATGTCGTCCACCGTGAGATCTCCCTTCTCGCTACCGTAGGTCTCCACAAAGAGAGACAAAGGCTTCGCCACGCCGATGGCGTAGGACAGCTGAACCAGGCACCTAGCGCTCAGGCCGCTGTTCACCACGGACTTGGCCATCTGCCGGCAGATGTATGCCGCTGATCGGTCCACCTTGGTTGGGTCCTTGCCCGAGAAGGCACCGCCGCCGTGGGCACCCCAGCCACCGTAGGTGTCGATGATGATCTTGCGGCCCGTGAGGCCTGCGTCACCCTGAGGACCGCCGATGATGAACTTGCCCGAAGGGTTGATGTGCAGGTGGGTGTGGCTGCCGTACAGGGTGATGGCGGACTTGCCGCTCTTCAGCGTGATGGACTCCAGCGTGCGCTTGATCACCTTCTCTTCAATCTCCTTGTTCATCTGCTCCATGCTGGGTGCAGTCATCTCTGTGCCCTTGTAGCCAGCGCACTCCTTGCTGCGCACGGCCTTCAGAGGCTCCGCGTGCTGAGTGGAGATCACCACAGTGTGGATCTTCTTGGGCTCCACGGAGCCGTCCGGGTGCTGCAGGTACTCGATGGTCACCTGGGTCTTGCCATCTGGTCGCAGCCACCAGCACTCCCCGCTCTTGCGCACATCGGTCAGGGTCTTGCCGAGCCGCGTGGCCATGGAGTGAGTCAGGGGCATGCAGTCCGAGGTCTCATCGCTGGCATAGCCAAACATGATGCCCTGGTCGCCTGCGCCCACGTCCATCTCATCCTTGCCCACGTGCACGCCGCCTGCAATGTCCGGGCTCTGCTTGTTGATGCGCACCAAAACTTCGCAGGTCTTGAAGCTCAAGCCCTTGCTGTCCACGCTGGACAGATCGTCCACAAAGCTATCGAAGCCAATCTGCTCCACCACTCCTCGCACCACCTTGTCGTAGTCCAGCTTTGCCTGCGTGGTGATCTCGCCCGCCACCATGACCATGTTGTCCTTGGTCGCAGTCTCGCAGGCCACCTTGCTCTTGGGGTCCACCTTCAGGCATGCATCCAGAACCGCATCGGAGACCTGGTCGCAGATCTTGTCCGGATGGCCCTCGTTCACGGACTCCGAGGAGAAAAGGAAAGTGCGCCCGGTGCGGGCCTTCTTCTGCGCTGGCTCCGCCATGGCTGCTTGGGATGCTGAGTGGCGTGTGGGTGCAAAACTCTGACAGCTGCCTCACCCAGCCAACAGCGGCAGTACGCAGTTTCCCTGAGCATTCTCCACACTAATGGCCGAACAATCAGCTTGCCCGTGGCTCTCCAGTGCCAAGCAATTCGTATGCTGGCTAGTGTAATCCACGCTGGGTTTAATGACTGCCTTTTCAGGTTGCTTTGCCCGAAGCCTGGTGGAAATGCCAACGGAACCCCATGATGGCTTGCCAGCCAGCAATCGACAACTGTGCACACGGCGGAGCATTTCTTGCTGGAGTCAAGCGCATCCTGGCTCAATCAGCCCAACACGCGCCGTTCAATGAACGGCGGATCCAAGGCATCTTGAGATACATGCTGCCTCCGCGCAGAAAACAACGAAAAGCCTCCTGCCAAGCCAGGCTTTGCCAGGTCTGGGCGTGAAAAAGGAAGTCCAAAACTGCAAAGCTTAGTCCACCCACTTCGTCAGGTAGTTGCTGCCCTTCAAGGCAGCCTCCACCTGAGCGCTCTTCATGGCCTTGTACTTGGAAAGGTCCTGGCATCAGGCAGCCAGTGGCCTTTAAACCTAATATTTGGCAGCATGCAAAGGCCTACGAGCCTGAGCAAAGGTGCTGGTGACAAACACCTTCCCCAACAACAACGACAACGCTCTGAAGTCTGAGCGACATCGTGCGGTCTTTATATGGGTGTTACAGTCCTTGGGGTTCTCCCACTCGAAGAACTTGATGCCATCCTTTGTCACTGCCTCTCGGCCGAAGTGGCAGTAGGCAGCCGTGTCCTGGTACTTCGGCTCGCGCAAAGCCAGCGACTGTGCAATGGCGCCAGGGCGGCAATCGAACTCGATCCTGGGTCCCGAAACGCCCAAGCCGGATCCAAAAGAATCTAAGAATGCTGAGTATCAAACATCTGCGGATGACTAACATGACTAACACAATTCTGTACAATGTAGAAGTTGTAACACACATCCGACTATGCAAAGCAGGGCTCTTGAGGACGTTGGTGATGTCGTCCACCGTGAGATCTCCCTTCTCGCTGCCGTAGGTCTCCACAAAGAGAGACAAAGGCTTCGCCACGCCGATGGCGTAGGACAGCTGAACCAGGCACCTAGCGCTCAGGCCGCTGTTCACCACGGACTTGGCCATCTGCCGGCAAATGTATGCCGCTGATCGGTCCACCTTGGTTGGGTCCTTGCCCGAGAAGGCACCGCCGCCGTGGGCACCCCAGCCACCGTAGGTGTCGATGATGATCTTGCGGCCCGTGAGGCCTGCGTCACCCTGAGGACCGCCGATGATGAACTTGCCCGAAGGGTTGATGTGCAGGTGGGTGTGGCTGCCGTACAGGGTGATGGCGGACTTGCCGCTCTTCAGCGTGATGGACTCCAGCGTGCGCTTGATCACCTTCTCTTCAATCTCCTTGTTCATCTGCTCCATGCTGGGTGCAGTCATCTCTGTGCCCTTGTAGCCAGCGCACTCCTTGCTGCGCACGGCCTTCAGAGGCTCCGCGTGCTGAGTGGAGATCACCACAGTGTGGATCTTCTTGGGCTCCACGGAGCCGTCCGGGTGCTGCAGGTACTCGATGGTCACCTGGGTCTTGCCATCTGGTCGCAGCCACCAGCACTCCCCGCTCTTGCGCACATCGGTCAGGGTCTTGCCGAGCCGCGTGGCCATGGAGTGAGTCAGGGGCATGCAGTCCGAGGTCTCATCGCTGGCATAGCCAAACATGATGCCCTGGTCGCCTGCGCCCACGTCCATCTCATCCTTGCCCACGTGCACGCCGCCCGCAATGTCCGGGCTCTGCTTGTTGATGCGCACCAAAACTTCGCAGGTCTTGAAGCTCAAGCCCTTGCTGTCCACGCTGGACAGATCGTCCACAAAGCTGTCGAAGCCAATCTGCTCCACCACTCCTCGCACCACCTTGTCGTAGTCCAGCTTTGCCTGCGTGGTGATCTCGCCCGCCACCATGACCATGTTGTCCTTGGTCGCAGTCTCGCAGGCCACCTTGCTCTTGGGGTCCACCTTCAGGCATGCATCCAGAACCGCATCGGAGACCTGGTCGCAGATCTTGTCCGGATGGCCCTCGTTCACGGACTCCGAGGAGAAAAGGAAAGTGCGCCCGGTGCGCGCCTTCTTCGCTGCGGGCTCCGCCATGGCTGCTTGGGATGCTGCGGCGTGTGGGTGCAAAACTCTGACAGTTGCCTCCTCCAGCCAATAGCGGCAGCATGCAGATTCTTTGAGCATCCTTCCGAACAAGCAGCTTGCAGTCTACGGCTCTCCAGTGTTAACCAATTCGTGTGCACGCATGCAATCACGGGGGTTGATCATTTCTTTGAAGGTTGTTTTTTCCGAAGAAAACACACCTGGTGGGAGTAGCACACAAATTTCCATGTCTTACCCCCTTTTGCTACCCATCCACTCTCCCCCACAAAGGGAACTGAAAACATGGATGGAGCTTCAGTCAACCCCCCACCGTAATTTCACGTTCAACGGGGTGGGCTCGCAGCGATTCTCAGTCTACTTGAATTCATCGCTGTTGATCTGTCTGCATTCCGCAGCACCTTCCAACATGGGCAAAAGATCGGCAAACCAGGCACGAAAGCAAACAAGAAGGCCAGATATGCACCGGCGCGGGCGAAAAGATCAAGAGAGCGACGCGAAGCATCGCAACACCAGGCTTGATCTGAACATGACCCACTCCAGGATTTGCGTGGCTGGCGGACGCGCCACATCCCGGGCCAAAACCTGCAAGTTGCATTGATGTGCCGGCTTGTCGGGCCTAGGCTAGTGTAGCGCGCTGTCTTTGCAGCGGGCTGTTTGCGGGTTGTTCGCTTCAAATCTTAGCGCGGCTCGAATCCGGCTGTGGCTCTTTGGTGGATTACGTGGCTGCTGAGTTTGCGCAGTACTTGCAACATCTTCAGCTAGGGTTGCGCGCGTTTGGCAATAGAAAGGAGCGGAACCTCTGCAACATCCTCAGCATTGCTGCAAGCTGCTCTTCTGAAAGCTGAAATTTAGGGTGAGTTAAAAGGACCCCTTAACATCACCTGCAATTCGATTCCAGCGTTCCCTGCAACAAGCACAGCTGGTCTTCTGAAGGCCGAAACTCAAGGGCTCTGTGTTGCGGACCCTTTAACATCCTCGGCATGCAATTCAATTCCAGCGTTCAACAGCAGCCGGAGGGTCCTCGCGCCTGGGAGGCCACGCGAGAGAGCGCGAACAATTGCCCGGCTTGGCCAATTAAGCGGGCGCATATGCCAAAAAATAGGTATGTATACATACCTGTATGTCCCAGTGGCATGCTCAACGTAGAGATATGCACATATATGTATATACTGACTATGTCTACATATATATATAGTATAGGTATGGATATGTATATATGTGTTTATATACATCGTTTATGCAAACGCTCAAAAAGTAGCGGATTCCATGCGACCACATTTAACAGTGCTGTACCTTTGGAAGGGTGTGACGCAAGTGAATGGTGCCAGCTCACAGTGCGTCTGGCTGCCCCTCCTTCAAGGGTACGGTAAAGGCTGAAGTAGAATCTGAACACTGAGTGCGATCAAAGGACAACAGTTGCTCGAAGCGAAATGCAAATGGACATGGTCGCAACCCGCAACCCCTCATGCTGAACCAGCCACCATCAATCATACTTTTTGGCTGGAGTCACTCGCATCCTGGCTCAATCAGCCCAACACGCGCCGTGCGAACAACGGCGGATCCAAGGCATCTTGAGATACATGCCACCTCCCTGCTGAAAATAACGAAAATCCTGCCGGGTCCAGCTTTGCCAGATCCGGGCAAAAGAACGCCTTCGATACAGCCAAGCTTAGTCCACCCACTTCGTCAGGTAGTTGCTGCTCTTCAAGGCAGCCTCCACCTGATCGCTCTTCATGGCCTTGTACTTGGAAAGGTCCTGGCATCGGGCAGCCAGTGGTCCGTTGTGGCTCGCTGTCTCTTGAGAATCTGTCCTCCTTTAAACCTAACATATAGGCATCAAGCAGACGGTGTGCACAGTCATACAAGCAAGATTTACCGTGCTTGACAACAGGTTCAACAACTGATCGCCCCACAGTCCTTCGGGTTCTCCCACTCAAAGAACTTGATGCCGGCCTTGGTCACTGCCTCGCGGCCGAAATGGCAGTAGGCAGCTGTGTCCTGGTACTTCGGCTCGCGCAGGGCCAACGACTGTGCGATTGCACCGGGACGGCAGTCGAACTCGATCCTCAGTTCAGCTCAATTCATCCCAGTTCCAGGCTTGATCTTGGCAAGATATATGCAACAAATTCTGGGCTTCCCTCTTAAATCCTCTCACGGCCTCGCACGAGCATTCCGCTCAAGATGAACATGGGGCTTGTAGGAGGCTTTTTTACATCATCTTCTAACTTCGAATATGAAACCCTGCAAGGCAGGGCTCTTGAGGATGTTGGTGATGTCATCCACCGTAAGATCTCCCCTCTCGCTGCCGTAGGTCTCCACAAAGAGAGACAAAGGCTTTGCCACGCCGATGGCATAGGACAGCTGAACAAGGCACCTAGCGCTCAGGCCGCTGTTCACCACGGACTTGGCCATCTGCCGGCAGATGTATGCCGCTGATCGGTCCACCTTGGTTGGGTCCTTGCCCGAGAAAGCACCACCGCCATGGGCACCCCAGCCACCGTAGGTGTCAATGATGATCTTGCGGCCCGTGAGGCCTGCGTCACCCTGAGGACCGCCGATGATGAACTTGCCCGAAGGGTTGATGTGCAGGTGGGTGTGGCTGCCGTACAGGGTGATGGCGGACTTGCCGCTCTTCAGCGTGATGGACTCCAGCGTGCGCTTGATCACCTTCTCTTCAATCTCCTTGTTCATCTGCTCCATGCTGGGCGCAGTCATCTCTGTGCCCTTGTAGCCAGCGCACTCCTTGCTGCGCACGGCCTTCAGAGGCTCCGCGTGCTGAGTGGAGATCACCACAGTGTGGATCTTCTTGGGCTCCACGGAGCCGTCCGGGTGCTGCAGGTACTCGATGGTCACCTGGGTCTTGCCATCCGGTCGCAGCCACCAGCACTCCCCGCTCTTGCGCACATCGGTCAGGGTCTTGCCGAGCCGCGTGGCCATGGAGTGAGTCAGGGGCATGCAGTCCGAGGTCTCATCGCTGGCATAGCCAAACATGATGCCCTGGTCGCCTGCGCCCACGTCCATCTCATCCTTGCCCACGTGCACGCCGCCCGCAATGTCCGGGCTCTGCTTGTTGATGCGCACCAAAACTTCGCAGGTCTTGAAGCTCAAGCCCTTGCTGTCCACGCTGGACAGATCGTCCACAAAGCTGTCGAAGCCAATCTGCTCCACCACTCCTCGCACCACCTTGTCGTAGTCCAGCTTTGCCTGCGTGGTGATCTCGCCCGCCACCATGACCATGTTGTCCTTGGTCGCAGTCTCGCAGGCCACCTTGCTCTTGGGGTCCACCTTCAGGCATGCATCCAGAACCGCATCGGAGACCTGGTCGCAGATCTTGTCCGGATGGCCCTCGTTCACGGACTCCGAGGAGAAAAGGAAAGTGCGCCCGGTGCGCGCTTTCTTCGCTGCGGGCTCCGCCATGACTGCTTGCGATGCTGAATGGTGTATGGGCGCAAAAACTGAAGCTGCTCTTGCATCCAGCCAAAAGCCACATAACAGGAATGGCAATAAACTCAACATGATGCTGGATGAAACCCCAAGCCCTCATGTTGAACAAGCCCATCTACCAGGCTAGCAGACTGCACACTTGCAGATCTCTTTGCTGGAGTCACTCGCATCCTAGCTCAATCAGCCCAACACGCGCCATGCGAAGAACGGCGGATCCAAGGCATCTTGAGATACATGCCACCTTCCTGCTGAAATAACGAAAATCCTGCCGGGTCCAGCTTTGCCAGATCCGGGCAAAAGAACGCCTTCAATACAGCCAAGCTTAGTCCACCCACTTCGTCAGGTAGTTGCTGCTCTTCAAGGCAGCCTCCACCTGATCGCTCTTCATGGCCTTGTACTTGGAAAGGTCCTGGCATCAGGCAGCCAGTGGTCCGTTGTGGCTCGCTGTCTCTTCAGAATCAGTCCTCCTTTAAACCTAACATATTAAATATAGGCATCTAGCAGCCAGTGTGCGCAGTCATGCAAGCAAAATGTAGTGTGCGTCCTTCGGGTTCTCCCACTCAAAGAACTTGATGCCGGCCTTGGTCACTGCCTCGCGGCCGAAATGGCAGTAGGCAGCTGTGTCCTGGTACTTCGGCTCGCGCAGGGCCAACGACTGTGCGATGGCACCGGGCCGGCAGTCGAACTCGATCCTCAGTTCAGCTCAATTCATCCCAGTTCCAGGCTTGGGACAAGCAGAGTGGTCAAATGGACTTCCCTCTTGAATCCTCTCACGGCCTCGCACGAGCATTCCGCTCAAGATGAACATGGGGCTTGTAGGAGCATGTTTACATCATCTTCTAACTTCAAACATGAAACCCTGCAAGGCAGGGCTCTTGAGGATGTTGGTGATGTCATCCACCGTAAGATCTCCCCTCTCGCTGCCGTAGGTCTCCACAAAGAGAGACAAAGGCTTTGCCACGCCGATGGCATAGGACAGCTGAACAAGGCACCTGGCGCTCAGGCCGCTGTTCACCACGGACTTGGCCATCTGCCGGCAGATGTATGCCGCTGATCGGTCCACCTTGGTTGGGTCATTGCCCGAGAAAGCACCACCGCCATGGGCACCCCAGCCACCGTAGGTGTCGATGATGATCTTGCGGCCCGTGAGGCCTGCGTCACCCTGAGGACCGCCGATGATGAACTTGCCCGAAGGGTTGATGTGCAGGTGGGTGTGCTGCCGTACAGGGTGATGGCGGACTTGCCGCTCTTCAGCGTGATGGACTCCAGCGTGCGCTTGATCACCTTCTCTTCAATCTCCTTGTTCATCTGCTCCATGCTGGGCGCAGTCATCTCTGTGCCCTTGTAGCCAGCGCACTCCTTGCTGCGCACGGCCTTCAGAGGCTCCGCGTGCTGAGTGGAGATCACCACAGTGTGGATCTTCTTGGGCTCCACGGAGCCGTCCGGGTGCTGCAGGTACTCGATGGTCACCTGGGTCTTGCCATCTGGTCGCAGCCACCAGCACTCCCCGCTCTTGCGCACATCGGTCAGGGTCTTGCCGAGCCGCGTGGCCATGGAGTGAGTCAGGGGCATGCAGTCCGAGGTCTCATCGCTGGCATAGCCAAACATGATGCCCTGTCGCCTGCGCCCACGTCCATCTCATCCTTGCCCACGTGCACGCCGCCCGCAATGTCCGGGCTCTGCTTGATGCGCACCAAAACTTCGCAGGTCTTGAAGCTCAAGCCCTTGCTGTCCACGCTGGACAGATCGTCCACAAAGCTGTCGAAGCCAATCTGCTCCACCACTCCTCGCACCACCTTGTCGTAGTCCAGCTTTGCCTGCGTGGTGATCTCGCCCGCCACCATGACCATGTTGTCCTTGGTCGCAGTCTCGCAGGCCACCTTGCTCTTGGGGTCCACCTTCAGGCATGCATCCAGAACCGCATCGGAGACCTGGTCGCAGATCTTGTCCGGATGGCCCTCGTTCACGGACTCCGAGGAGAAAAGGAAAGTGCGCCCGGTGCGCGCCTTCTTCGCTGCGGGCTCCGCCATGACTGCTGGCGATGCTGAATGGTGTATGGGCGCAAAACTGACTCTGTTCTCGCATCCAGCCAAAAGGCACATAACAGTAATGGCAATAGACTCACATCATGCTGGATGAAACCCCAAGCCCTCATGCTGAACCAGCCCATCTACCAGGCTACCAGACTGCACACTTGCAGATCTCTTTGCCAGAGTCACTCGCATCCTAGCTCAATCAGCCCAACACGCGCCGTGCGAACAACGGCGGATCCAAGGCATCTTGAGATACATGCCACCTCCCTGCTGAAAATAACGAAAATCCTGCCGGGTCCAGCTTTGCCAGATCCGGGCAAAAGAACGCCTTCGATACAGCCAAGCTTAGTCCACCCACTTCGTCAGGTAGTTGCTGCTCTTCAAGGCAGCCTCCACCTGATCGCTCTTCATGGCCTTGTACTTGGAAAGGTCCTGGCATCAGGCAGCCAGTGGTCCGTTGTGGCTCGCTGTCTCTTCAGAATCAGTCCTCCTTTAAACCTAACATATTAAATATAGGCATCTAGCAGCCAGTGTGCGCAGTCATGCAAGCAAAATGTAGTGTGCGTCCTTCGGGTTCTCCCACTCAAAGAACTTGATGCCGGCCTTGGTCACTGCCTCGCGGCCGAAATGGCAGTAGGCAGCTGTGTCCTGGTACTTCGGCTCGCGCAGGGCCAACGACTGTGCGATTGCACCGGGACGGCAGTCGAACTCGATCCTCAGTTCAGCTCAATTCATCCCAGTTCCAGGCTTGATCTTGGCAAGATACATGCAATCCACTCTGTTGGGACAAGCAGAGTGGTCAAATGGACTGGTGGTTTGTTCTGCACTTCCCTCTTGAATCCTGAGCATGGGGCTTGTAGGGGCATGTTTATCTAACAACTTCCAACATGAAACCCTGCAAGGCAGGGCTCTTGAGGATGTTGGTGATGTCATCCACCGTAAGATCTCCCCTCTCGCTGCCGTAGGTCTCCACAAAGAGAGACAAAGGCTTTGCCACGCCGATGGCATAGGACAGCTGAACAAGGCACCTGGCGCTCAGGCCGCTGTTCACCACGGACTTGGCCATCTGCCGGCAGATGTATGCCGCTGATCGGTCCACCTTGGTTGGGTCCTTGCCCGAGAAAGCACCACCGCCATGGGCACCCCAGCCCCCGTAGGTGTCGATGATGATCTTGCGGCCCGTGAGGCCTGCGTCACCCTGAGGACCGCCGATGATGAACTTGCCCGAAGGGTTGATGTGCAGGTGGGTGTGGCTGCCGTACAGGGTGATGGCGGACTTGCCGCTCTTCAGCGTGATGGACTCCAGCGTGCGCTTGATCACCTTCTCTTCAATCTCCTTGTTCATCTGCTCCATGCTGGGTGCAGTCATCTCTGTGCCCTTGTAGCCAGCGCACTCCTTGCTGCGCACGGCCTTCAGAGGCTCCGCGTGCTGAGTGGAGATCACCACAGTGTGGATCTTCTTGGGCTCCACGGAGCCGTCCGGGTGCTGCAGGTACTCGATACCTGGGTCTTGCCATCTGGTCGCAGCACCAGCGCCCTCTTGCGCACATCGGTCAGGGTCTTGCCGGCCGCTGGCCATGGAGTGAGTAGGGGCATGCAGTAGAGGTTCATCGCTGGCATAGCCAAACATGATGCCCTGTCGCCTGCGCCCACGTCCATCTCATCCTTGCCCACGTGCCGCCGCCGCAATGTCGGGCTCTGTTGATGGCACCAAAACTTCGCAGGTCTTGAGCTTCAAGCCCTTGCTGTCCACGCTGGACAGATCGTCCACAAAGCTGTCGAAGCCAATCTGCTTCCACCACTCCTCGCACCACCTTGTCGTAGTCAGCTTTGCCTGCGTGGTGATCTCGCCCGCCACCATGACCATGTTGTCCTTGGTCGCAGTCTCGCAGGCCACCTTGCTCTTGGGGTCCACCTTCAGGCATGCATCCAGAACCGCATCGGAGACCTGGTCGCAGATCTTGTCCGGATGGCCCTCGTTCACGGACTCCGAGGAGAAAAGGAAAGTGCGCCCGGTGCGCGCCTTCTTCGCTGCGGGCTCCGCCATGACTGCTGGCGATGCTGAATGGTGTATGGGCGCAAAACTGACTCTGTTCTCGCATCCAGCCAAAAGGCACATAACAGTAATGGCAATAGACTCACATCATGCTGGATGAAACCCCAAGCCCTCATGCTGAACCAGCCCATCTACCAGGCTACCAGACTGCACACTTGCAGATCTCTTTGCCAGAGTCACTCGCATCCTAGCTCAATCAGCCCAACACGCGCCGTGCGAACAACGGCGGATCCAAGGCATCTTGAGATACATGCCACCTCCCTGCTGAAAATAACGAAAATCCTGCCGGGTCCAGCTTTGCCAGATCCGGGCAAAAGAACGCCTTCGATACAGCCAAGCTTAGTCCACCCACTTCGTCAGGTAGTTGCTGCTCTTCAAGGCAGCCTCCACCTGATCGCTCTTCATGGCCTTGTACTTGGAAAGGTCCTGGCATCAGGCAGCCAGTGGTCCGTTGTGGCTCGCTGTCTCTTCAGAATCAGTCCTCCTTTAAACCTAACATATTAAATATAGGCATCTAGCAGCCAGTGTGCGCAGTCATGCAAGCAAAATGTAGTGTGCGTCCTTCGGGTTCTCCCACTCAAAGAACTTGATGCCGGCCTTGGTCACTGCCTCGCGGCCGAAATGGCAGTAGGCAGCTGTGTCCTGGTACTTCGGCTCGCGCAGGGCCAACGACTGTGCGATTGCACCGGGACGGCAGTCGAACTCGATCCTCAGTTCAGCTCAATTCATCCCAGTTCCAGGCTTGATCTTGGCAAGATACATGCAATCCACTCTGTTGGGACAAGCAGAGTGGTCAAATGGACTGGTGGTTTGTTCTGCACTTCCCTCTTGAATCCTGAGCATGGGGCTTGTAGGGGCATGTTTATCTAACAACTTCCAACATGAAACCCTGCAAGGCAGGGCTCTTGAGGATGTTGGTGATGTCATCCACCGTAAGATCTCCCCTCTCGCTGCCGTAGGTCTCCACAAAGAGAGACAAAGGCTTTGCCACGCCGATGGCATAGGACAGCTGAACAAGGCACCTGGCGCTCAGGCCGCTGTTCACCACGGACTTGGCCATCTGCCGGCAGATGTATGCCGCTGATCGGTCCACCTTGGTTGGGTCCTTGCCCGAGAAAGCACCACCGCCATGGGCACCCCAGCCACCGTAGGTGTCGATGATGATCTTGCGGCCCGTGAGGCCTGCGTCACCCTGAGGACCGCCGATGATGAACTTGCCCGAAGGGTTGATGTGCAGGTGGGTGTGGCTGCCGTACAGGGTGATGGCGGACTTGCCGCTCTTCAGCGTGATGGACTCCAGCGTGCGCTTGATCACCTTCTCTTCAATCTCCTTGTTCATCTGCTCCATGCTGGGTGCAGTCATCTCTGTGCCCTTGTAGCCAGCGCACTCCTTGCTGCACGGCCTTCAGAGGCTCCGCGTGCTGAGTGGAGATCACCACAGTGGATCTTCTTGGGCTCCACGGAGCCGTCCGGGTGCTGCAGGTACTCGATGGTCACCTGGGTCTTGCCATCTGGTCGCAGCCACCAGCACTCCCCGCTCTTGCGCACATCGGTCAGGGTCTTGCCGAGCCGCGTGGCCATGGAGTGAGTCAGGGGCATGCAGTCCGAGGTCTCATCGCTGGCATAGCCAAACATGATGCCCTGGTCGCCTGCGCCCACGTCCATCTCATCCTTGCCCACGTGCACGCCGCCCGCAATGTCCGGGCTCTGCTTGTTGATGCGCACCAAAACTTCGCAGGTCTTGAAGCTCAAGCCCTTGCTGTCCACGCTGGACAGATCGTCCACAAAGCTGTCGAAGCCAATCTGCTCCACCACTCCTCGCACCACCTTGTCGTAGTCCAGCTTTGCCTGCGTGGTGATCTCGCCCGCCACCATGACCATGTTGTCCTTGGTCGCAGTCTCGCAGGCCACCTTGCTCTTGGGGTCCACCTTCAGGCACGCATCCAGCACCGCATCTGAGACCTGGTCGCAGATCTTGTCCGGATGGCCCTCGTTCACGGACTCCGAGGAGAAAAGGAAAGTGCGCCCGGTGCGCGCCTTCTTCGCTGCGGGCTCCGCCATGGCTGCTTGCGATGCTGAATGGTGTATGGGCGCAAAACTGACTCTGTTCTCGCATCCAGCCAAAATCACATAACAGGAATGGCAATAGACTCACATCATGCTGGATGAAACCCCAAGCCCTCATGTTGAACCAGCCCATCTACCAGGCTACCAGACTGCACACTTGCAGATCTCTTTGCCAGAGTCACTCGCATCCTAGCTCAATCAGCCCAACACGCGCCGTGCGAACAACGGCGGATCCAAGGCATCTTGAGATACATGCCACCTCCCTGCTGAAAATAACGAAAATCCTGCCGGGTCCAGCTTTGCCAGATCCGGGCAAAAGAACGCCTTCGATACAGCCAAGCTTAGTCCACCCACTTCGTCAGGTAGTTGCTGCTCTTCAAGGCAGCCTCCACCTGATCGCTCTTCATGGCCTTGTACTTGGAAAGGTCCTGGCATCAGGCAGCCAGTGGTCCGTTGTGGCTGGCTGTCTCTTCAGAATTTGTCCTCCTTTAAACCTAACATATAGGCATCTACCAGCCGGTGTGCACAGTCATACAAGCAAGATTTACCGTGCTTGACAACAGGTTCAACAACTGATCGCCCCACAGTCCTTCGGGTTCTCCCACTCAAAGAACTTGATGCCGGCCTTGGTCACTGCCTCGCGGCCGAAATGGCAGTAGGCAGCTGTGTCCTGGTACTTCGGCTCGCGCAGGGCCAACGACTGTGCGATTGCACCGGGACGGCAGTCGAACTCGATCCTCAGTTCAGCTCAATTCATCCCAGTTCCAGGCTTGATCTTGGCAAGATACATGCAATCCACTCTGTTGGGACAAGCAGAGTGGTCAAATGGACTGGTGGTTTGTTCTGCACTTCCCTCTTGAATCCTGAGCATGGGGCTTGTAGGGGCATGTTTATCTAACAACTTCCAACATGAAACCCTGCAAGGCAGGGCTCTTGAGGATGTTGGTGATGTCATCCACCGTAAGATCTCCCCTCTCGCTGCCGTAGGTCTCCACAAAGAGAGACAAAGGCTTTGCCACGCCGATGGCATAGGACAGCTGAACAAGGCACCTGGCGCTCAGGCCGCTGTTCACCACGGACTTGGCCATCTGCCGGCAGATGTATGCCGCTGATCGGTCCACCTTGGTTGGGTCCTTGCCCGAGAAAGCACCACCGCCATGGGCACCCCAGCCACCGTAGGTGTCGATGATGATCTTGCGGCCCGTGAGGCCTGCGTCACCCTGAGGACCGCCGATGATGAACTTGCCCGAAGGGTTGATGTGCAGGTGGGTGTGGCTGCCGTACAGGGTGATGGCGGACTTGCCGCTCTTCAGCGTGATGGACTCCAGCGTGCGCTTGATCACCTTCTCTTCAATCTCCTTGTTCATCTGCTCCATGCTGGGTGCAGTCATCTCTGTGCCCTTGTAGCCAGCGCACTCCTTGCTGCGCACGGCCTTCAGAGGCTCCGCGTGCTGAGTGGAGATCACCACAGTGTGGATCTTCTTGGGCTCCACGGAGCCGTCCGGGTGCTGCAGGTACTCGATGGTCACCTGGGTCTTGCCATCTGGTCGCAGCCACCAGCACTCCCCGCTCTTGCGCACATCGGTCAGGGTCTTGCCGAGCCGCGTGGCCATGGAGTGAGTCAGGGGCATGCAGTCCGAGGTCTCATCGCTGGCATAGCCAAACATGATGCCCTGGTCGCCTGCGCCCACGTCCATCTCATCCTTGCCCACGTGCACGCCGCCCGCAATGTCCGGGCTCTGCTTGTTGATGCGCACCAAAACTTCGCAGGTCTTGAAGCTCAAGCCCTTGCTGTCCACGCTGGACAGATCGTCCACAAAGCTGTCGAAGCCAATCTGCTCCACCACTCCTCGCACCACCTTGTCGTAGTCCAGCTTTGCCTGCGTGGTGATCTCGCCCGCCACCATGACCATGTTGTCCTTGGTCGCAGTCTCGCAGGCCACCTTGCTCTTGGGGTCCACCTTCAGGCACGCATCCAGCACCGCATCTGAGACCTGGTCGCAGATCTTGTCCGGATGGCCCTCGTTCACGGACTCCGAGGAGAAAAGGAAAGTGCGCCCGGTGCGCGCCTTCTTCGCTGCGGGCTCCGCCATGGCTGCTTGGGATGCTGAGTGATGTGGGGGCGCAAAACTGACTCTGTTCTCGCATCCAGCCAAAAGCGGTGGGCCATCGCTTTCATCGTGTGCCCCTCAGGCAACACATGCAACCACAATCGTTGACTCAGAATTTCTGAGATGCATGGATCTAGTATGGTCACCGCGAAAGCGACTGGAAGCAGAATCTGACAAATCTGAACTGTCATATTGGCTTCAGCTTGCCGTTCAGACCGACCGACTCGCAAAGTGCAACTTGAGTTTGCGGGTCCTACACAGGTCTTGACATTCACCTGGCACACCGACAGATGTCGACCGCCTCTGTTCAGGTTGCACAGCTCTGGCGACTTTCAGTTTAGTCTGCCTCGCCATTGGTTCCTAACACTTGGAGCAACCGGGTCCTATGGGCCAGTGTCTTCGCCTTCCAATCTGCCACCAGGAATAAGCCGCGCATGCTTGCTGCAACCTCTCAAGTGTCAATCCCCGAAGCATCCACCTCCTTCCAGTAAAGAATAAACCGATCCCAAGCCGAAGCCGAAAATGGAATCGCTCCCTCCAGGCCGGAAGGATGCTATGTGTGACCGTTGTATCGAGTCCAGTCTTCCATCCCGCAAATGAAAAACAAACGCCAGCCACGCTGCTCCGTTGGTCAGCGCAAAGTGACAGGAGGAAGCGCCCGGCGGGCAATACGCCTATCAACACAGAGCAGGGTTGTGGGATCACTCAGGGTTTATCCAACCACTTCTGTGATATTATCTTCGGGAATCCCCTCTACTCTTTCTATCAGGGGTTTGTCTTCGGGAGGCCCTTTTTGTTGTAATTTTAACAGATTCGAGGATTCCATGTCCCACGCCTATCGCTTCAGAGACCTGCGACCAGCTGCTGGGGGCAATGGGAAGGAACCGAAAAGATAGCCCACCCCGAAGTTAATCTGGGCCGAAAAGAAAGAGCATTGGCTTTTCTCTGGCCTTGCAACCAACCCTTGAAACTTAGAGCCTGGAGACTGCCATTGTGTTTGGATGGCTTTCTGCTTTTCCTATGAATTTGTACCTTCGTTAGCGGCTTTCCTTCAAGGAGACCCCCATAGCGCACCGGTCTGCCCCCGCGGAATTGGGGTATGCAAAGACGTGCCTTCAGCTTCCCTCTTGGAGCCCGGTGGCTTGGAGGTTGCGGGGGGTTCATTTACCCTCTAAAAGAACCAGGGCTACGCCCCGCCAATAAAATCACGGGTAAGCCATGGATCAAGACTGTCCCTTTAAGCTGGAAATAGCAATCTGCACATGTGAGGCATATCAAAGGTGCATAAGGGGAATACGTTTGAGGCATGCACCCAACGTAGATACTCCCCTTGAATGGATGGCAAGTAAGTATACGCTTTGTAGCCTAACACCTTGTGGTTTCTACCGATGGTTTACATAACACCTTAACACCGTATGGTGTGTACCTGTATTACACTCCCAATCTGTGGATGGAACATGCATGATCAAAATGATTGGATCCTTCACTCGAGCTTCAAGGGTGGGCGTGTGAGTGGTGGGTTACAGGAACCTAACAGAGAGTAACATTGTGGTCAATATGCTTACAAAAATCCAGCATTCCCCTTAGACGTGGGTGTTAACAACGGCGGATCATTGAAACCCTGAGTGGTGGCAGGGCCTGTTGAGGGGTGAGCATGAATGGTGAAAGCAATTCATGAGGTCCCTTTTGCTCGACCCTGTTCTCCTCAAGGGAGCTACAACAATGGTGACTTTAACATGTTTGAACAACCCGCAATTCCTCATTTTGTTTGAACCGTCCTTTTCAAAACACCTACTGTGTGCATCTGCATGTTGACGGTTTTCCGGGAAGAAGGATCCATCAGTATGCTTGCATTTGACGTGCCTCTGCATTTTGATGGTTTTTCAGAAAGAAGGATCCATCATGCTTGGAATTGACCCTAGCCAGAGTGCACTGCCAAACACCTCGAGAAGACCAAAGGAGAAATTAGATACATTTGGGCCCTTTACCCGTTGAGTTAGAGGATCCGAATCCTTGCAAAGTCTGAAAAGACCTGTACAAATGGCTGGCACAGAAAGGAGCCACAAAAGCCACTTTCTGGGGAGCCGAAAAAGCGGAGAAAAAACAACAAACAACGGGAAACTCGAAAAACCCGACAATAATCAATGGGTGTCTTTTTTTAGAGGATCTCCCAACATGGACTCGGTCTTCCTTTGGTTTCTCTTCAAAACAAGCCCAAAAACCCAGGCCACCCCCCAAAAACGTCAAAGACCAGAGGCAACTCGCGCTCGAGCCCATGGGTCCCTCTGGAGCTCGTCCCTCCGAGGCGCCAGCGCCGCCAGCACCGCCTGCGGCTCCTCCTCCACACAGGCGGCCAGCAGGTCGCAGCGCTGCACCTGCAGCGCCCAGCCGTTGAAGCCCAGGTGCACCTCGAAGCGTTGCGTTGGAGCGGTGCGTCACGCCCAAAGGGCGGCCGAAAATTTTTGGAGGGTACCCGTTTTTTTCGTGGATGTCTTTTTCTTGCTGCGATAGGCAGGGAATGAGAAATGTAATGCACAAGAAAAACCATCCAACTGGTGGCTTCCTTGAAGGGAATCCCCAAGTTCATCCCCTCATTCCATACTGAGCACCACCAAGTTTGGGGTTGGCTCAAAGGGGAACGAACAAAAAACGGCAAAAAAATGGTGGGGCCCCTAAAAAAAGAAACAAGCCAAGGGAAATCGCACAAAAAAGTGGGGTCCCCTTACAAAGAAGCAAACCAAGGGAAAACCTGCAGAGACATGTCGTGTCTTACGTGGGGGATGTGATATATTCACAGGTTATGTTAGTTTTCAGTTTTCACAAAGGACCCTCGGGCACTAGAATTCTTTTCTTGGAGGCCGGCGATAGCTGTCGTCGATTGCCGCAGCCACTCCAAGAGGGTTGTCAAGAAATGGCGCCCTTCTTCTTGGACCCCACATCGTGCCGTTCAAATGCGAGACTACAAAGGGTCCCGACCCCCCACGGATCGGCCCGTGGGTCCGCGAGTCAACGGATTGCGGCTTGCCATGCGAAAGCCATACCCCAGCCCTGTCCTGTCTGCAAGCCCAAAAGGTCCCTGCGGCATGGTTGTCGAAAATAACCACTTTGTGGTGCCAAAATAAATGATTATCCCCGCAACTTTCTCATTTTGTGACACAACATCACCTCCCCGAAAAAGGGGCTGGAACTTTGCCATCCTACCAGCTTTGCCGCCGCCAGGCCCTGCGTCCACGCTCCCCCCATAAATTCGCCCAGGCCTGGAAGCGCTGCTTCTCGGCCAACTTCAGCCAACTTCTCCGCACGAAGAGCTCGAAGGGCCCTGGCTTCAGCGGCGCCGGCCTGGCATAGAGCCCGAGCCCCGCTTGGATAGCTCAAAGATGCAGGGGGAGCCTTATGTCTGACCTTTCTCGCAAATGCCCCGTAGTGTTAAACATATGCTAAAAAGTACCCATATCGCTGTAGGGGGAGGGGTGTCGCTGTTAGTGCCAAGAATTTAGGGCTCATGACCCTTTGATTATTTTTTGGGGGGCCTTGACAGCAATCAGTGGTCGTCCCTGGCGACCTCAAGCGCCCACTTGACATCGTTCCGCACATGTCGGTCACTATGTCACGCGAGAAGCCTTGGCTTAGGCCGAAAAAGGAAGCCCCGCCGCCCTGTAGGTTGACAATGAAAACCCGTGCTTGGCAGTTCTCACAATGTTCGTCAAACGCACAGTGGAAATAAAAGCATATAGAAACATTACAAGCACACCTGCATATCGAAACAAGAAACACGACAAGACGACAAAAGCACATATCAAAAGAGAACCAGAAAATTTGACGCTTCGCAAACGGTGCCTGGTCCAGAAGTCTTGGCCCTCCGTGGGTGCTCCAAGCAGCCAACGCCTGCCCGGACATGCAACACATACCCATCCTTTTGTTGGTTCCCCCAAACGGGGCATCTAGAGACGAAAATATCGAGTGAGTCTCTTCAGCCAGCATTTGGCGGGTCAGCGCATTTGGTACGATTGGTCACCAGCCATTGTTCTCTTGGCACGTGACATGCGTCCAACGGCAAGGACAAAGCAGCCATTGGAGGCACCGGCAAAGGGCCGAATTCGCAGGTTTTCCCGTTTTCCCGTTGGGAGACGAGTCGAGGCTCGGCACGGGAGTGAAGGCCATCACGAGAGTGAGATTCTGCTTAGTCTACCTCGAAGCATTTCAGGATACGTGAAACAAGCAGATCTTCGGTATAATATTTCTTTTTGGGCAGACATCATTTCAGTGACATTTCATCTGCCTTAGAACAAACGATATGTGTTAGAGGAGCCCCCAAACATGCGGTTTGGAACCATTCCCAAGTTCAACCACAAAGTGCAGCCAGATGGGCACCTTGAAGTGACCCTCCATTCCGGACGCCGCATCTGTTTACATGTTCGCCCGATCTCCCTAAATTTCATAGCGGAAGCTTCAGTCTGGAGTCACCTTACTTTGGAGTCTCCATAGGAGTTGTCATGGCTCATGACTCTTGCGGTCTGGTGGTAAGGGAGGATATTCACGAGTGTGCAGGGAACCGAAAATAACCATTCAGCTTGTGTCAAAGGCCCAAAGAGATTGAAGAATATAATACCCTCGTGACTCGGTGACAGTCATTTGGCTGTGGCTCAAAAAAGTGGTACCATTTTTTGGCTCCTGGGAAACAAAGACCTAAACCCCAGCTGTTTCATTTTGAGCCACCCCCCATTGCAAGCGGTTTAGGCCTGAGTTCTTCGCAATATCCACCCTCGCGACTCGGGTCTCTCGGGTCAGCTTCGGGCACCTTTCTGAAGCCTCTGAAACTGGTGCCTTTGAAAGGAGGAATTAGCTATGATGACTTGGTGCGACAAGGGAATGAGGCATTGGAACGAACCCAGAAAATGGTTTAAAGGTGAAAGGACACCGCCTGGACGGTTTTTCTTGGGGTTCCGGGTTCCATTTCTCCTTCCCATCTCTCGCACCAAGACGAGTTGAGTGTTGAACGTCTTCCACGGATCGGTCGGCGATGTGTTGGATTCCTCAACATGAGCCCGAAGAAAGAAGCAGTTCCTTTTGTTGACACATGGAATGTGTCAAAAGAGGACCGTTCTGTGGCGAATGCCCTTCAGGGACGGTCCAACTGATCAGCAAAATTGGGGGGGTCAGTTCGTTTTGCACCATCCCACAAAAGTGTCCAAGCCCGAGTTGACATCTCCAGCCCGGAAGATGTCACACTAACATACAAAGCCCCAAAAAGCACATCCTTTTTGCTGAACCTCTTTTTCCGGATTCGCTTTGGGTTCGCGACCGACATTTGCTCAAAATTTTGAGCTGGGCGGCAGTGCTCCAGGCAGGCGCCGGCCCCAGTCGCGCTCGTTGTGTTTGCCCCCGCGCTCCAGCAGGAAGGCCAGCGCGGTGCCGGAGAAGAAGAGGTGCCCTGGTCGCTGGTCCCAGCCCCGTCTTCTCCCGTCCCGCCGTCCCGCCCCGAGCACCTTGATGGGTGCTGGGGGCCCTGAAAACATAAAGGTCAAGGCGGAGTTTTTGGTTTTCAGGTGGTTTCAATTTGCATCTTGGAGAGAGGTCGGAGCTCGGTTCAAGAAAGGCGGCCCTGGAAGCTTCCGAGGATTGCAAAGATAAGCATCAGACTAGACTCACTGACTCCAAAATAGCCTGGATGGCCCAAAATAGAAGGATTTTTGTGATGTCATTGAAAAAAAACGATATCAAACGGGCGGGCCAAGCAGGAACAAACACCAAGCAGCTCCCCTTTGGGTTGATTTTGGTCTCAAGGATCTCGGAAGTGTCCGCATCACACACCAAGGGCACCCAAAAACCAGCAATTTTCGAGGTTCTTGGGTGACCACTGACCGCATTGAGAGTGGTTTAACCACTGATAGGCCCAAATACAGAGCCATTTTCTAATTATTGCCATGGGAAAGTAGTATTGTGCTCGTCAACAAAATAGTTGGCAATGCGGGGTCAAGTGCCACCCATCATCTTGTCTTTAGATTCTTCTTGCAATAGCAACGCCTCTTGAAATAGCCACGCTTGCTTGTCACACCCTCTCATGTACTCTAAACGTGCACCCCCTACTGGGGACACACACACACACATGCACACACACGCACACACACAAAAAAACTTTCGGGGGTATGGGGTGGCAGCTGTATGGGGATGAAGTTGTGTCTGGGCGGGGGTGGGGTGCTGCGTGTTCAATTCTGCAGGCTTATGCATGCAAATTGCCATTTTCCGGCAGAAAGAATCTCTGCTTTGCTTGCGATGTGGAACTGCCACAAGCGCATCTCGTGTACGTCTGGAGCCTCGAAGGCTGTCCCGTCTCAGGGCAATGATGTTCTTTGCTGCATAGTGATGCCGCGACTCTTAGTTGCGCCGCCATCACCCGGCGAGACGCGTCCGCCAAGTCCAGGTATGATTCACCGCATCGCGGAAGGCAAGTGCCTTGCCATTGCACCTGCATTGTTTGTTGGACGCGCGTTGTGTGTGTGTGTGTGAGGCAAGGAAACTGCAGGAGCAGTAACTTACAACTGGAAAGCATCTACGTAGATAAGCTGGACCAATACCAGCTACCATTGAAATAACAGCACAATCCTTGATCTAATCTAGCAGAAGTTTCAGTCAATTGATGTATGGCCAGCAAACTCTTTTACACTCGCAAACGCCGCTTTGCTTTGCTGCACCTGTTGCACCGAAGGCGAGCAAGTTGAGTGTAAGACTACCTTTCAGACTGCTGGATCGATATACAGTGCTCCGTAGGCCTCCTTGCAATCATTGAGTGCTACGTCTCCACCTTCGCATCAGGCAACAATCAGCTTTGAACAAGCCCCACTAGCCCACCATGCCAAACAGGGTCAGGCAAGCTTCAATTCCTTTTGAGAGCATTAAGCCTTAAGACCTTTTCGGCGATTTCTCAATTTCTCCAACGGAAAAACCGCCAACCGCCAACCGCTTCCGCCCTCGTTGCCTCGTTTCCGCTCCCAACTCTCCCACATCGCGCCTGCACACTCCGCGGCGGTGTCTCGCAGATAAGCGTCGCACTCCAAGGAGCCGGGCCTCAGCGAGTCGGTGAGGCGTGGCTCGGGGAATGCCGGAGTTCACCCAAACCCTCCCATTCGGCGTTCAACTTCCTGGAAAAAATGAAAATATGGGCAGGGACAGAATCCTTTTAAAGCCGACGAGGAAAAATAAACACATATTGTTAAGCATTGTTAAGCCAATGGAATAGATTTTAAGGCAAAATGACCAGCTGATTTGGTGGGTCCCCTAGGACTCCATTCTTCTGGTTCATGATTGAAATAAACCGATTGGGCCCTCCTTGAAAATTCCGGTGAGTCCACATGTGTGCGTTCTTTTGCTATGCATTGTCGTGAATCCAGCGGAAGGTATCTGGCATTGACTGGGCTTGGACGGTGCGTCCCACCTGAAAGGCAAAATATGCAAGTCCCAAGGAAATGTATGGTTTATTCCGTAAAGCCCCCGTCATTCGCACAGGAATCAAGGTTCAGCCACTCGCAACACAACAAAAAGGGCCGTGCCATACCAAGCAGCTAGTCAGTGTGCTCTCTTCCAAGGGTGGCCAGAGCCAGGTTAAGCGTGGGCAAACACAATTGGGTCAAACTCAATATGCCATGAGAGGCACGCAACAGGAAGCAAGCATATCTCTCGCATCCATGCCCAGCCTCTCGGTGCCTCTGAAGCCAGTATACTCGAACTCTCCCATGGCAAGGTACATACGCCGTGGCCTCAGGAGTCAGCCGCTTTATCTCCATCTGGGCCTAGGGATTTTTTGGTCCCATAGGAAGAGGATCTTCAACTGGAAGGAGCTTAACCTCGAAACATGGATTTTCCTCGGCGCATTGCTTGCCGGTGCTCCGGGAATAAGTTGGTATGACCCCAAGAAAACCCATCCCTATGGTTTCTTCGAAGGGGATCCCTAGGTTCATTCCCAACACCCTGGGCACCAGCAAGTGTGGAAAGGGACCTTGAGAAGGCTCCAGTGATTCTATCTAGTGTTTGCCTGCGTGTTCAAGTTCAAGCTTCTTGGCTGCATCGCGCGCAGCTAATGCTTCGAGAGCTTGGGAGCATTCACTCAAATGACGCCTTTGTCCAAGAGACCAACAACAAATTCTGCCAGAAATCCTGGCTTTCGGTGGGTAATTGAAATGCCAACATCCTGTTTCCTGGTTCCGTTGGTCCAAGAAATCGCTTTGAGACTGGGAACCAGGACCAAGGCCGTCCGTCAGCTGGGTCCCAGGGCATATCCCCCGACAACCCATTCCAGGCCTTAAGCTGAAGGGTGACCATACATACTGTTGATGGAAGAAATCTTGCATGAGTTTATAAGACTAAATGTTTACCACCCCGCGCCCCCTACTTAACATTGAGCTGTGACGGGCAAAAGTGTCGTAGGTTGCCAATGACCTAAATCTTACATGACCCAACCCAACTTGGCCGAACTGAGCACCAATGTTAATTCGGGGGCGCGGGGTAAGTTGTAACAAGATGAAGTGGATCTGCCAAAAAAATCGCTGCAATATTTCTTCCATCCACCGTATGAATATATACATATATATGGTACCCCCCCCATGGATCGACCTTTGGAAATCACTGTTTTCGGGGCTCTGGGGAGAGCAGCCAACAGGGCGCCGCATGTCCAAAGACAATCTGAAGCATTAGCCAAACTTTTCCAGTGAATCTTGAATCCAGTTTGAACCGATCTCTGTGAAATTTCCAATTCTGAGGTTTTGTCAGAAAATGCAAAACAACAGCTATGTTGGAGCCATTGGCCCAAAAGTGAAAACGTAAAGAATGACCCAAAAGTAATCAAGTAAAAAAGGAAACATCTGGAGCCAATGACCCAAAAGTAAAAGAAGAAAGAAAAAACCTGGAGCCAATGACCCAAAAGTAAAAAAAGTAAAAGAAAAACGGAAAACGAAAAATGAAAAAAGACAATGAAAAAAGAAAAATGTTTCAGTCCATGGTCAAACCATTTGTACTCAGGACCATGGGGCGAATTGTTTTACATTTGTTGCTTGCTTACTGCTGGCTTTTTAACTTTTACGTTTTTACTCCTTTACTTAGTTTACTTTCTACTCTTTACTTTTTGATTTTGGATTTCTAATTTTTGTTTGTTTGCTTTTTACTTTTGTACTTTTCTACGTTTGGCTCCAGAAATGTACTTTTACTTGTCTACTTTTGTACTGTTGGGTCTCTGGCTCCAGAAACTTACTCTTTTGACTTGTGGGTCATTGGCTCCAGGTTTGCTTACTTTTTATCTTTGGGTCATTGGCGGCAGACCTTTGCACTTTACTTTTGGGCTATTAGCTACATAATTTACAGCTTTTTTAGCTTTCAGTTTTGGGCCATTGGCTCCAACATAGCTGCTGTAACCTCAGCTTAGAATGGACAGGTTTCGGGAGTAGGGTTTGGGGTCTATTGACTCGCGTTTGTAGGAATCGGACTTATTTCCCGTAGATGTTTGCTCACGGAGTTTCTTGGGAAACACGCGTTTACTCACTTGTGTGTTATTGTTTTGCGCTTGGAATTCAACATGTTCGATAAGGACAAAAATGAAACAAGTCAATTAGAATGTGTTTGTTCAACTTTTAACTCGCATTGAGATGGAGTTGAGTAAGGAACAGACCCCAGCAAGAGTTTCTACTTGAGATGCCGGGAGGGAAGCAAGGGGTAGGCCGCAGCGTGCTGCAGGTCGCTCCTATCTCTCTCTCTCTCTCTCGCCCTCTCCCTCTCCCTCTCTCTCTCTCTCTCACTCTCTCTCTTTTTCTACTTTAAGGATATTTCAAATAGGACTTCCTGTTCGAAAAAAGATTTGTAATCAACACTCTTAGCTTCAGATGTTCAATCGGGTTGACTGTTTGACATAGTGTCAATAGAACTTAATAAAGACATAAGCCCATTAGAATGTCTAGGTTGAAGAAAAGACTTTGGACATCTTATTTAAAATTAAATGTTCAAAAGGATGGCGTTTGCCATGATGATTTGTTCAGGTTCCCTGGGTTCCCAAGAAGAATTTACTACAAATCAACACTGAACAACGGTCAATATTTTTCTAGGCTTAAAGATGGTTTAAACAAGCTTCCATTTTGAAGATCATTGGAGATTGGGATTCTTACTTCAAAATATGTTTTACGGAGAACGTCCTTTCCTGGGAAATTGTGCTTCTCTAGGAGTGAGTGGAATCTAACAAGGAAATACTTCTAGTAGAATTTCTGACTTGAAAGATAAGTTGAATAGGACTCCTTCGCAACAAACACACATAACTGGAAATTGTTATTCCAAATTAGATTTTGAAGGGGATTTGATTGCTTAGTCGCATGGGGCATTCCAAATAAAAACATCTGTGCTCCATCTCCGAAATAGCCTTCACAGAGTAAAAAGGTTGATCTATCGGGGCGGGAGCCAACATATGTGTATATATATATATACGAAAATGTATATGCACCTCTGTGGGCCCTGGTTTGACTGCCTTTGGGGGTGGTGCATCTAGAACCTCGAGATTCAAATTCCAACTGCGGGCCCCTAAAGCCTCATAATTTGGAACCCGGAGTCCTCCGAAATGTCCCAATATGATACCCTTAATTGGAACTTGAAATATAGTTTAGTTGGGGTATAGTTATCAAAAATGTGTTTGATGTTCAATTACAGCTTAAATAAGCAAATCCTTTCCAAACAGGAGCTACATGACAATGAAAAATATAGTTTCGGGTAAACTCCAACAATCTTCATCAAAATAAATTGGATAGGAGTCTATTCCCAAATATAATCTCAGTCTTGAATACAATCTCATACGAACAAAGTTCAATTAGCTTTTGATAAAAAGAATTAAACAGAGACTACTTCTCAAATGCTATTTTTATTAAATATGGCTAGACATTTAAACGGCTTCTCCAAGGAAATTCAAAATACGAGTTGTGTTATTTACATTCCTGCCCTTTTGTAGCATAAGAAAGGTCCGAAATTAAACTTGTTCCCGGTTCAAATTGGGATCTCAAAAAGCGGCGAGCGGAGTACTAGATGAGCAAACGTGGAAGGTAGTTCAAGAGGGGTGGGTGACGGTGTGTGAACATACATACATGTGTGTATCTTATATATATATATATGCACATACATACACATATAGAGTACCCCGATCGCTAAGCAATTGAAAGTACTTTACAAAACTGGGTGGAAGATTCAAGATGGAAGATTACACAGCAAACATTTCTGAGAATCGTCAATCCTGGCCAAGCCCAAGCAACATTCAAGTTCTTCTAACACTGAAAGTGCTTTACCACTGGATTGAGGATTCAAGATGGAGGATTGCACAATCAACAACCCCTAAAAACGAACGTATTTTACCACTGGGTTGAAAGTTCGAGCTTGACGGAAAACTTCCGAGAATCTTATTGAACACCGAGAGTATCGGCAAAGCGTCTCCATGACAGGGCGGCGCCAAGGACTTCCATCCCACAGCTTGCCGGCAGCGCCCTTGCGCTCTGCCTGACAGCTGAGCTGGCCCTGCTCACTGACACGCACACACGCTGCGATAGCTTGTAGCCTGGCCGGCCTGGAACCAGTGGAAGACGTTCACAGACATTGCATTTGCATTGCCACCTGGCACCCCCACTCCCAGGTTCTCCCGCCGGCCTACCATCGTGGCGATGGTACAGTCGAGTTTTACAGGCCCCCTGTCCGCAAGCACACGGAATTTGGTGTGAATCCCAGGAAGGCCTCGGAAGGTTTGACCCGTCGCATTTGCAAAAGAACCGGTCCAGAATTTTTGCCGGCGCAGGGGGGAGGTACCGGGAGCCAACACCGCGGCGCCACGCGCCTGACACTCAGACTCCACATTTTCCCACGCTCTCTGGGTGTCCAAGTCAGGACAGGCCCGGAAGGCTTGTAAAACCGCATCATCACCAGGCACAGCTTGCCGCACTCAACCGCTCATGGCTGGTCTCTTTAGCCTGGCAGCGGGGCAGGACCGATAAGTTGGAGTCTGAGCCCAAGTTTGGGAAAGCCAACCAAATTTTGGTGAAGTTACAGGCAAGCCTGCGGCGTCAAAATTCGCCCTGGCAGCGGCGCAGCGTTTACAGTTACAACGCCTTAGGGGCACATGGATCAAAACGCTCGACTTAGATGCAGCGCTTGCCTTCAAATGCCGAAACAGCCCGCCATTGAACGTTGCAAACTTGACGATTGGTGGGTACCTCAGGGTTGTCAGAAATCATGGTGGATTTGAGCTGGCAGGAGCAAAGCATTTGCTGGGCCTGACCCGCTTGTTCAACTTGCGGAGGCGCTGCAATACAGATAGGCGTGCGGCAATGCTGAAGTCACCCAGCTCCCTGCCAGAGATCCTGCCTGCCCAGGCGCGCTACTTGCGCGAGAGGTTTGAGTTCGAGTCCAAGTTCGGGCGCGCTCTATTTGTTCTTTTCCTTTTTGTTTGGGGGGGAGGGTAAGTCCCAAACCTGGGGCACTTGATCCCTAAGCAGGAAGTGTCCACTGTGGTAGCGGTGCTCTGAGACCCGGGAACCGAGTAGAGGTATTGAACAATGGGTGTATTGATCTTGTGGCTTCGCCCTGAGCAGAGGGGGTTCAAGTTCAAGGTCGGGAGCGCGCTACATGTTTTTTGTTGTTGTTGTTGTTGTTATTGTTGTTGTTTTGTGTTTTTTTTCGAGGGCGCGGCTCGAGTTCCAGTTCGAGTTCGAGCGCGAGCTACACTGCTCTTTGGGGGAGGGATATATGCACACACATACACATATAGAGTACCTCGATCGCTAAGCACTTGAAAGTACTTTACACAACTGGGTGGAAGATTCAAGATTGAAGATTACACAGCAAACATTTCTGAGAATCGTCAATCCTGGCCAAGCCCAAGCAGCATTCAAGTTCTTCTAACACTGAAAGTGCTTTACCACTGGATTGAGGATTCAAGATGGAGGATTGCACAATCAACAACCCCTAAAAACGAACGTATTTTACCACTGGGTTGAAAGTTCGAGCTTGACGGAAAACTTCCGAGAATCTTATTGAACACCGAGAGTATCGGCAAAGCGTCTCCATGACAGGGCGGCGCCAAGGACTGCCATCCCACAGCTTGCCGGCAGCGCCCTTGCGCTCTGCCTCACTGACATGCACACACGCTGCAATAGCTTGAAGCCTGGCCGGCCTGGAACCAGTGGAAGACGTTCACAGACATTGCATTTGCGTTGCCACCTGGCACCCCCACTCCCAGGTTCTCCCGCCGGCCTACCATCGTGGCGATGGTACAGTCGAGTTTTACAGGCCCCCTGTCCGCAAGCACACGGAATTTGGTGTGAATCCCAGGAAGGCCTCGGAAGGCTTGACCCGTCACATTTGCAAAAGCACAGGTCCAGAATTTTTGCCGGCGCAGAGGGGAGGTACCGGGAGCCAACACCGCGGCGCCACGCGCCTGACACTCAGACTCCACATTTTCCCACGCTCTCTGGGTGTCCAAGTCAGGACAGGCCCGGAAGGCTTGTAAAACCGCATCATCACCAGGCACAGCTTGCCGCACTCAACCGCTCATGGCTGGTCTCTTTAGCCTGGCAGCGGGGCAGGACCGATAAGTTGGAGTCTGAGCCCAAGTTTGGGAAAGCCAACCAAATTTTGGTGAAGTTACAGGCAAGCCTGCGGCGTCAAAATTCGCCCTGGCAGCGGCGCAGCGTTTACAGTTACAACGCCTTAGGGGCGCATGGATCAAAACGCTCGACTTAGATGCAGCGCTTGCCTTCCAATGCCGAAACAGCCCGCCACTGAACGTTGCAAACTTGACGATTGGTGGGTTCCTCAGGGTTGTCAGAAATCATGGTGGATTTGAGCTGGCAGGAGCAAAGCATTTGCTGGGCCTGGCCCGCTTGTTCAACTTGCGGAGGCGCTGGCAATACAGATAGGCATGCGGCAATGCTGAAGTCACCCAGCTCCCTGCCAGAGATCCTGCCTGCCCAGGCGCGCTACTTGCGGGAGAGGTTTGAGTTCGAGTCCGAGTTCGGGCGCGCTCTATTTGTTCTTTTCCTTTTTGTTTGGGGGGGAGGGTAAGTCCCAAACCTGCGGCACTTGATCCCTAAGCAGGAAGTGTCTGCTCTGAGACCCGGGAACCGAGTAGATGTATTGAACAATGGGTGTATTGATCTTGTGGCTTCGGCCTGAGCAGAGGGGGTTCAAGTTCAAGGTCGGGAGTGCGCTACATGTTTTTTGTTGTTGCTTTTTTCTTCTTTTTTTTCGAGGGCGCGGCTCGAGTTCCAGTTCGAGTTCGAGCGCGAGCTACACTGCTCTTTGGGGGAGGGGTTCAAGGTCAAGCTCGTTGCGGCGCGCGCTGCTACAATTTTCGAGGTTCTGGCACTAGTAACCTGCGCAGTGGCGGTACAGAAGCACTGGCGCTACTACAGCACACTGAAGCTCCCAGGTACCAGGTCACGGTTGTTGCGCCGGGTTTCTGGGTATTCTGCGCCGACTCTGGCTTTCTGCAACGTAGAAGGTTCTTCCAACAGCTGTTCGCAATGTACTCATGCTTCCAGAGGGTAGGCCAAAAGCGAGCTTTGCGCAACGCAAGGGGTTTTTTACAACAGTGCGCGCGCTCTACTACTGGTCCTTTTCTTGGAGGGGGGGGAGCTTTGAGTTTTATGTTTGCTGTGGGGGGGGGTTCTCGCGCCCGAACTCGAGCTGGAGCTCAACAGAAATATCGCGCACGCCCGAACTCGAACTCGGTCCGTAAACTCGACCCCTCCCCCCGGAAAAAAAGTGTAGCCCGCGCCCGAACACGAATTTAAACTTGAACTCTTCCTCCTTCCCTGAAAAGTAGCGCGCGCGTTGCACTCTCCCCTTCCCTGATCTCCGAAAAGCAACGCAACCCGGCCAAACCGATTTTTCGAGGGCGGCCAGGTCGAGATCGAGCTACATTGTTTTTCAGGGGAGGGGTTGCAAGTTCACGCTCAAGCTTGCGCTCACACACACACACACACAGAGGTGTTGGAATTCGATTTCAAGCTCGGGCATGCGCCATGTGTTTCCTGTCTTTTCCCTTTTTTTTGGGGGGGGAGTGGTGTTCGACTGCGGGCAAGGTACTGTTTTTGGCGGGGGGGGGGGGGGGAGAAACTCAAGTGCGAGTTTGGGCGCGCTACATAGTTCCGGCGCTACATTGCTGGATTTCAAGCTCAAGGTCGGGCGCGACGCCACTTTTTATGCAGGGCTCGAGTTCGTGCACGCTGCATTTTATTTCATTTATTTATTTATTTTTTTGGGGGGGGGGCAAACTCAAGTTTGAGTTCGGGTGCGCTACACTTTTTTTCGGGAGGGGGGGGTTAGTTCGAGTTCGCGGGCGCGCTACTTTTTTTTTTCTCGGAGTTCAAGTGCGAGCCGAGTTGGAGATCGAGTTCAGGCGGGGGGCAGGAAAAATATAGCGCCCGCCCGGACACGAATTGGAACTTGAACTCTTCCCCCTTCCCCGAAAAGTAGCGGGCGCATTGCACTCTCCCCTCCCCTGATCTCCGAAAAGCAACATAACCCGCCCCCAAACCGATTTTCCGAGGGCGGGGCTGAGTTCCAGTTCGAGTTCGAGCGCGAGCTACATTGTTTTTCGGGGGAGGAGTTTTAGGTTCAAGCTCCAGTTCGCTTTCAGGCGGGTGCTACATTTTTCCGGGCGGTGTGGTCACGGTTTGGTGTGGTCACGGTTTTGTTGCGTCCGGTTCAAGCTTTCTGCAACCTAGCTGCAACAGCTGTCGCAATGTACTCGTGCTTCCAAAGGGTAGGCCAAAAGAGGCGACATTGCTGGATTTCAATTTCAAGGTCGGGCGTGCGCCACTTCTCTTCGGGGTTCCAGTTCGAGTTCTCGGGCGCGCTACGCTTTTTTTCTCGTGTGTTGTTTTTTTGGGGGGATGGAGTTAGTTTTCTCGGGGGGGGGGGGGTTCGAGTTCGAGTTCGTTTTTTTCTCCGGGGGGGGGGGGGGGGGCGGGTTCGAGTTCGAGTTCGAGTTCGAGTTCGTGTTCGGGCGGGGCACGTAATGAGTATCGGTACTGAGTATCGGGACAACTTTTTTTTCTCTGGGATTCTGACGCAAGATTCAAGATTCCCAAACATAATGTTCACGGAATCTTGAATCTTGAATCTTGAATCCTGGATTGTGTTTTGTGTTTTCTAAAAGCAAATTCCAGCGTTGTCCCAATACTCTGAGATGGATGCAGACTCTGTCAGGTAGCAGATGTTGATATCTTTGCTTTCATTGCATATGTGTGTATAATATGTACATAAACATATGCCCCCCCCCTCCCCAACTTTGCCACAAAATCAGCGAGGCAAAACAAAATAAAACACTGGAAAAACACAGCTCAAGCTCACCAAACCAGGGTCCATGGGGTACCATACATATATATATATGTAAATACATGTATGCATTTGTACATATATACATAATGTACATAGTATATAAATACACCTACGATTTGGTGCTAGCTTTCAGCCAAGGCCCCCGGCCAGGGCGAGGCGTGCGCCTTCACGTCCGACAAGTAGCGGCCTTCGCCCGCCCAGAAGGAGGGCGACTCGACCAGGACGCCGTCCCAAAGGCCTGCAGAGTGGCTCGTGGCTCGCTCGACCAAATGTTGGGATGTTGTGCTCATTATAAAACCCGATGCAGGGTTGTTTACTTGGTTTAAACAAAAATATGTGGGCTTTACAAAACCCAACTCAATGCAAGTGGTTTTGTAAAACCCGGCCCTTGCAGGTGTTTTTGTACAAAGACCCAATGCATGGAATGACCTCAAGAACAACCCTCCCTGATGGCTTCCTTTCAGAGAAACCCCTTCTCCATCCGGCAAAACATTCCCTATTTTGTGAGGGTCCCCCTTTTTTGGAGGGTTTAAAGGAAAACCAGGGGGGTCCGCTTCAAATTGCACACCCACACAGCAAAACATTGGGTTATGACGGGGATTGTCAGCCAATTAACGGGTATTTCAGACAGCCACTGCAATGCTTCCTATTCAGAGAGGGTGGCACACCTGCTTTTCCTCTGTTCAGCACGCCCAAACAGCGCTCCATTTGTCCAGCCTGGTGGCCTTGTGTTTGTATTTCGCGGTCAAAAGTAAACTGAACTATATAGTGTTGCAAAGAATGCGGCCGTGGATAGATCTGAGGGGCGCAAAGTGAATTAAGCGAAGTGCCCGACGTGGGCTGATCTGACTTCCTGGGGATCCTGAGAGAGCTTGTCGAATGAAGTCAGGGGTTTATTGGCTTTCTGTTAAGCTACAGTGGACGGTTGCAAAATCCATTTCGCACCACCTAAGGGACCCTGGAATGATGATTCCCCTGCAACTACCAACAAACGTTATGATGATTCCCCTGTATCTACCAACAAACGGTATGATTTCAACCATGGTTTCAAAGTGGTGCGAAATGGATTTCGCAACCATCGACAGTATTGAATGGTAGGATGAAGCCTGGAAACTTCCTGGTAAACTCTAAGGAGAGCTCCCCTGTTCTACTGCTGCTTGCTTTCTCGTACAATTCGAAGCCTGCGCCAGCCATACCAGCTTCTGTTGCCAATGGCCGCCACGCTAGGTTGGTGGTTCGAAATAGTGGCAACGGCTTGTCCAGCCTGGGTACTTCATCGCCATGTACAGCGCGCAAATGCCGCCGAACGATGAACCTCCGAAGTACCTGCCAAGGCTCTCTTTTGGGGAAAGGGGGGCTGCTCGAAACGGAAAAGGACCGGCCCTGCACTTCTCTTGCTGGGCTAGGGAAGCAAAACACCAAGACTGGCAAACGGTTCCATTGACATTCAATATATCTTCCTTCAGGATTTTGTGCCAGTAATAAAAGAAGGGCCGAAAGCGAGAGATGACGGGCTGCTCGGTTTTCTTCTCCTGGATCCATGAGAGTTAGGGAGAATTTAGAATCTGTTTCATGCCATGTTGGGTTCGCTCCGCGTCAACCATGACCATTTGCAATTCTCTCAATGCTGCCCTTTTCAGAGAAACCACCAATGGAAATCCAAAAAAGGGCTCCCTATTCTTGACAAACCCACACGGCTCGCAAGGACCTCCAAAGCCGGAACATGTGATGACCTACAGGAGAGAACCAACACTGGTAGACAACATGTGTCTCAGGCAATCAAAACAACTACCCAGAGCAGTTCGCGTGGCCAGAATATCAAACATGGCAACCGATCAACTACTTCAACACGCTGCCTTGTGATAATTCAGAGGTTTGACCTTGTTGGGTAGGAGATCTGGGGACGGGAGGTGGTCAAAGCTGGCCCTCTCACACTCACCTGCGCCTAGAAATTGAGGTGAAAAAGGAAGAACTTCTGAAGGCTGTCACCAAACTGGTTGTTTACCATTCAATGCTCCTCATCATGTTGGGGTAAGGAAGTTTGACATATCCGGTGCATGGTTTGCTACGTTCGCCCTGGTTGAATGATAACGTGCTTATTTTTGTTCATATTGTCACGAAGCCACGTGCGCTCACCACACACAGGCACCTTATGTTATCAGCTACTAGTAAGAAGGCATGCGGCGCATGCCCAAATGGCATATCCGAAACTTCGAACACTTGTGGCATACATATCAAGGCCGAAACTCAACTCTGCAAGACATAAGATGCTAAAATTGATCCGGAGACAAACAGCGGTGTCTCCGCATTTGCGCTTGTCCATCCCCAACCGATTTGTTGTGGCCTCCACAGCGAACCTTTCTGTTTTGCTGGGCTTAAGCTGGCGCAACGCAAGCACCTGCGGTCGCAAAACAGTTCACCTAACGAATGTTGGACCCTCTTTACACCCCCCCCCCTCTCTAGGACTGGAACCCGTTAGCTGGAACCTCTTTAGGTAGAATCCTGGGGGTCTGGGAGGGACAGTTTACTTTAGTATCGCCAATTCTACTTTGGTATTGCGAAGGCTGACTCTCAGATTCCTAGTACTTACTTTAGTGTCGCCAATTCGACTTTAGTATTTGCCAAGGCTGACTCTCTGATTCCAAGCACCTACGTTCGTATTGCCAATTCTACTTTAGTATTGCTAAGGACCGTATTCTTTCAGCAACCCCGACACTAAAGAGGACCCCAAAACAGTCACATTTGAAGAGGCTCAGGGCCGCTTGTGGGCACCCCCCCTTTGTGTGACTGGTTGCCAGTACTTTTTTGTAAAGAAGTTATCTTAAATTTGATAATTTGGGGGAGCAAAATGAACTTCCTAGATCCAAGGCCTTTGCCCTTTGAGCTGAGAAGAGCTTGGTTAGGTGAACCACCCTAAAAGTAAAAGGCTAAGGCTTGAGTCTAATAATTTCAGCAACCCAAAAAACCGTTGGACACTAAAGAGGACCCCAAAACAGTCACATTTAAAGAGGCTCAGGGCCCCTTGTGGGCACCCCCTTTGTGTGACTGTTTGCCAGGACTTTTTTTGTAAAGAAGTTTTCTTAAATTTGATAATTTCGGGGCCACTAGCAAAATGAACTTCCTAGATCCAAGGCCTTTGCCCTTTGAGCTGGGAAGAGCTTGGTTAGGTGAACCACCCTAAAAGTAAAAGGCTAAGGCTTGAGTCTAATAATTTCAGCAACCCAAAAAGCCGTTGGACACTAAAGAGGACCCCAAAACAGTCACATTTAAAGAGGCTCAGGGCCCCTTGTGGGCACCCCCCCTTTGTGTGACTGTTTGCCAGTACTTTTTTTGTAAAGAAGTTTTCTTAAATTTGATGGTTTCGGGGCCACTAGCAAAATGAACTTCCTAGATCCAAGGCCTTTACCCTTTGAGCTGAGAAGAGCTTGGTTAGGTGAACCACCCTACAAGTAAAAGGCTAAGGCTTGAGTCTAACAATTTCAGCAACCCAAAACAATCACATTTAGAGAGGCTCAGGGCCCCTTGTGGGCACCCCCCCTGTGTGACTGTTTGCCAGTACTTTGGTTTGGGGGCCACTAGCAAAATGAACTTCCTAGATCCAAGGCCTTTACCCTTTGAGCTGGGAAGATTTGCTTGCTCGTTTTTTTTGCTCGATTTCTTTGCCAAGTTTGTTTGGCCCATATTTCTTCGGAGGCTTATTCCCAGACAAGATCAGGAGAGTGAACAACAAAATTTGTATTTTGGATTTTTTCGGGGAAACAATTGCTGCAATTGAGGACCCCAAAACAGTCACAAGATCCTGAATTGCGAAACATATTTGGTGCTATTAATAAAGGAGGTGTAACATTATTTGTCTTTCCTGACTCCCAGCCGACAAATGTGTAGCTTGTAAAATGTGGTTGCCAACAAATAGTGGCAAGCAAGCAACCAACCAATCAGGGAAAACACACCAACCAACCCACCAACCAACCAACCAGCCAGCCAGCCAGCCAGCAAGCAACCAACCAACCAGTTAACCACCCAGCCAGCCAAGGCATCCTGGCAGCCAGCCTGGCAGGCAAACGAGCAAACGAGCGAGCGAGCGAGCGAGCGAGCAAGCAAGCAAGCAAGCAAGCAAGCAAGCAAACAAGCAAACAAACAAACAAGCAAACAAGCAAACCAGCAAACAAACAAACAAACAAGCAAACAAAACAGGGGCTGTAGGTCGCAAAGCTGCCCCCTGCCTATGCTCGGGCTTGGCGGACACCCCAAAGCGCCGCTCCGCCCAAGGCAGAAGCGAGATCACGCTCTCGAGGTACGCATCCACGCCTGAACGCAGTGTGGACCATGTTCTTCCTTGCCCCCTGCTTCGACAGCCTGTCACATGGTAAAGCAAGGATTCGTCGTAGCCAGCACTCTGCTTATGTTGCGTATCTGCTTGTGGCTGCATTTGAAACGATTAGGTACTAAAATAGCAAGGCAAAACGACGAAAACAACACGTTTCAATGTGCATCCTCCTGTTGGGTTGGTGACCAGAAGCAAATTGGCGCGTATTGTGTAGGCCGCGGACTCACAAATGGGTAGTCCTGGTTTCTGTGGTGAAGCGGTGGTTTGGTCCCCATGTTCTCCCGAACCAACTGTCATCATCTCATGGTTTCATTTGGCAGTTGCTCATACCCTCAAACGAATGGAAGTATTTTCCAGCTGAGCATCTCAGCATTGACTTTTGCAAGGAGCTTCCAGTTTGCTGGACATAACAAGTGGCAAAAGCAAACCACGTAGCTAACTCTCAGTCAATCTATGTATCCTACTGCATCAATAGTGCTGTTGCTGGGTGGTTCAAGAAAAGGAGCCAACAACCACCGCAGGGAGTGACTGCCCCCCCGCTGGGTTTCCTTCTGGCTTCCCCAAAGGGCAAACGCGCCCACGGAGATTTGGAGCGCGGGACCCCAAAGTGAAGAGACTCAACTGGGGTCTGACCTGTTGAAAGTGAAATAACAGAGAGCCTAATGCTTGCTATTTCAGAAGATGCTGTCAGTAGCGTGCCTCTGTGCACTTCACTCATTTTGCAAACACAGAACCAGCTCTACGGAGGCAACTGTACAGTACAAAGCTTTACAGGCGCAGAAAGCAGCTAGCATTCCTATCTTAAGTTAAGATTTGAATCCTCTGACCCCCCGCTTTCTGTTCGACCGGCAATTTGCAAGGCCATGCAACGCTTCTGTGGCAGCACTGGCTGCTCCTGAAATTCAACCAACACCTCCCAGACACTGCCCTCCCAAAAGAGACCCCCAAATGAAGAGGTTATGAAGCGGCTCCTAGTTTGTGCCCGTCCTAGTTTGTGCCCGTCCAGAGTCCTGACGTTTATCAAAAGAGGCTTGCCAAGCACCTCCACCTACCAGGGTCCATCGATTTGTCACAAGCACAAATCGGGGCGCTGGGGTTCCCCTTTGGAATCCAAAGTGACATGGAGAAAGAACATGGTCGGCAGCAGGCGCCGCTAAATTGGAACTTTTTCGCACATGGGATGCTGATTCAACGCGTTTTTTTCTTGGCATTTGCATAGATTGTATTCAGCCGCCAGCGGAGCAGTGCAGTGTAAAAGGGAGATTGAAAGCGGTCTCTTGCTCCCCGAACATGAGGCCCATGTGCAAGGGGCTGTGAGCGAGTGATACTGTAATCAGAAAACATGTCAAAACGTCTGTTTTTCTGAAATTAATAGAGCTGAAATTGCGGTGTTTCTCGAGTTTGTTATTGGTTGGTTACTCTTTTCAGGGGGCAGGCCAATTGAAAGAGGCAACAATACGTTCTTTCTGCATTCAAAATCTAAGATCTAACATATTTGGGAAGGAATTCCTATTGAAGCTTTAGCTTAAGATAGAAATGCTGCTTGAATTGTTCCAGATGAAATGTTCTTTAATTTCAATTCACATGTACGTCAACCTCCTTTGGAAAGGAAGTTGCTTCCCAAAGCATGCAGACAGAAATCTAAAGAAAACACACAACAAAAACAATCTGGCAGGGACAATCATTGGCAGAGGGTAAATGGAAAACCGGAAAGCACAATCGAGAAATCGGACAAAAACAAAATCACAATCTGGCAGTGGGAGGCAGGGAAAATTCTTGGCTACCCCATCATACCCCATCATCCCCGCTAGAAAGATGTTTGTGTTCGATGTCTCGAAGTTGTTTTTTTCCGCTTTCAGACTTGCAAGTGGGTAAGATGCAAACTTTCCTTTGTCTTACTGTTTGTTGTGTTGTTCCATGTATCAATACTTTTTGTTGGTTTCAGATTTGCAGGGGAGCAAGACCCACACATTTGGGTCAGATTGTGTTCTGTTCTCCAAATCGATGTATCGATGTGTTGATCTCAAAAGTGGTGGGCCCAAAACCGAGCCAACGCTCAGGACATCCCTTTGCAACCTGTCTGGTCGTGACTTACAAGTTCCTCAATTGATTGTGGCGCTTGCGAAGGCCATTTCGGGGACCTCCAAATGGCTGTGGCTCAAAAAACTGGTACCATTTCAAATGGAAGCCTGGGAAGTGGAAACATGGACCAAAACCTGCGGAATAAGCACCTCCTGTTTAATTTTGAGCCACACCCAAATGGTAAATGTCCTGTTGGTTTCCCTTGAAAACCACCAAACATGGAGTACCCTCAAAAAATGACACGCCCCATTTCCTGTTATATAGGTCCTTTTCCGTGGACCAAAGTCATTGATGCCCCACCAATTCGGGCAGTGCTCACAAGAGCTTGGTTCTGCCAAGATGGTGATCACGGCTCGTATCTGCTCTCACTACAATCCCCACAGAACCTACGGTGGGTAGACGAAGTCCTGCACCGAATTGAATCCATGCAAAACCAGTGTTTGTTTTGCTATGTTCAGGGGAATCGCATCATTTCGGGGTTTCTGAACGGTGGTGCCCAAGAGGATTTCGTCCACCCACAGGAAAGGATCACCTCTCACAAGTGTCAACTGGGCTTTAGGCACCGCTTAGCTCTGCAAAGGAAACCCTGACGGAGGCGACCTGGAAAGTTTGACAACGCTGCTTGGTTTCCTTTGCGCATGAGCCAGGGTGTGTTCAACTCCTTCTGAACGGCCATGTGCCATTTACAGCCTTTCAAAGCCGGAAACGACACCAGGAAACAACACCGGCAAACAAAACCAGGAAACAAAACTAGGCAGCCTTTTGGGCACATGTCTAAAAAAGAGAAAACCAGGACTTTCCCGCGTCTCGGGGTCTCGAGTTGAACCCGCTCCCCACAAAATGTCCGTCGCTTTGCTTCCCTCGAGCCTCCACCGGGGGCATCCCACATGTCGCCCCGCATGCCGTCGCCCCAGGGCGCGTCCCAGCCAGTGGGAGGCGACGACAAGTAGTCGTAGGTCCTGCAGAAATGACGGCCAAAGACTCAGAGGTGTTGTTCCATGCAACTGTTTTTGGCATTGATGGAGGGCTGGTGCTGCTACATAGCTAAAAACTCTTGATGTGTCCCTTCATGTTCCCTTCATCCCGTGTCCTGTAAAACCTTGTCATTGTTATGTTGATTATTGTCGTGGTTCCTTTCCTTATCGTGGTTAGACCCCCTGACTCTAAAAGCTCAAAGGTGTTCTTCAATGCAACTGCTTTTGGCATTGGAGGGCCCGTGCTGCAACATAGCCTTCAGGCGTCGAAGGCAAGGACCACCTGCCGTTTTTGCAAAAGAGTAAACAAATATGGATTGAAACAAAGGCCCTTTGTAAAGGTCGCCTTTCAAACAAGCATGTCTGCCACGCTTGCAGTTTGCTATGAGATATTGCCTTCGTATGGCTCCAGGTACGGCTGTGAATGAGTCTGTGAGTTATGGATCTTGATGCTGGCAAGTGTGCTAGGGGAGACGTCCTTGCTTGGGTTCAGTGAAACTGAAAGGTTGTAAGGGTCAAAAAAAACATGTAGACGGAGTCCTGGTTTGATCAGATCAAGTTATGATGCTGTCGAGACAGTTTGAATTATGACCTTGTCTATCGAACACGGCTCCTTGACAACTTGACGACGCAAAAACTATGCGGGTGACAAAGGGAATTCTTCCAAACAGCTGGCACGAGTATTGCAACATTGATGGCTACGGCAAAACTCCCCACACCCCCCCGCCCCCCATGCGCTCCTGTTGCGGCCGGTATGGTCGATACCCACAATAATGATCCTGAGAGAGCTGCAGGGTTCCCGTCAAAAGCTGTGGGTGTGACTCCTTTTTTGTTGTGGGGGGGCGGGCTTCACAAGTAGTTTTGTGGTTTCCCTTAAAGAAGGCCAAAAAGGCACCTTGGTACCAAAAAGGTCACATGCCCATCAGCCCGGCCCTCTCCAGTCACCAGAAGCAGAAGGCTGCAACGGCCACATGCGCATTTGGAGGCTGGCAGGTTTGTCCCATCGGAACTCCACAGACCGGCTATACATGTCGCCAACTGAGACCTTGCCGGCCGAGGCAAACACAATGACATGGCCATGGGTCAAAAGCCCGTGCCCCCAGTGAACATCCCAATCCCCACTAAAATAGACTAAACTGGGTGGTGCACCTACCCCATGGTACCATTGGTTGTGACCCACAGCCACATCAATAGGTCTTCACCGGCCGTCTCAAGAGGCCTCCGGAAAGGGAGACCGCTCAAACATCCAGCGAGCCGAGTGGTTGGATTTGAATGAGGCCCTTTCAAACTGAACCAATGTCTCGGATAGGCGGAAAAGGAAACCACCATCCCTCAAGGCGGCCCTATGTTCGAGGGGGCAATGCATGCGTTGCCGACTCATTCGAAGACGCAGACTCAGAGTGACTTAGGATTAACCCGCCAGAATATCCATTGGTGTCCGTTTCAATCAAAACTTGGCCCGTCCCCCACAAAAAAAGAAACGGAGGCCCGGTCCCTTTCACAATAGACCTGTAAGAAAAAACAACTATATAGATGTGTGTCCCTGGTAAATGAAGCATACCAATTTAAACCGATGGAACCCATCTATTTCCTCACTTCCTGAGTGAATGGCCAACATAAAGGCCCACTTTTCCGTACGCCACTAAAATGGTCCAAACCCAAAAAGTGGCTCAGTCCAGACACTCGGAGAGTGTGTGTAGTGTGTTCTACCCAAAAGCCTGAAAAAGGACACCGTTTCCCTGGTTTTCTGGGGGCATGCCAATCTAAACCAGTGGAACCTATTTCTAACCAAAACCTAGAAATAAAACACCTATGCTGAATGGAGAATCGGATCCCCAAGTAAAGGACCTTTATCATGGCTTGCGCTCGTTATACCCCCAAAATCGGTGAGCTCGCCATAAAATAGGCAAACCTCTGCCAACCCGATTTCCCTGGTTTTCTGGGGCATACCAATCAAAACCAGTATTTCTAACCAAAACCCTTTTTAACAAAAAGGACACCTATGCAGTCCAGAAACTCGGGCAGCGTGTGTCTAACCAAAACCTGAACAAGACACACCTCCCCAACCAAAACCTTTAAAAAACCTTGAAAAAAAACACCTAGGACCACGAAACTTCCCAGAGAACCCCCCAGAGATTTCCTCTTCCAACCCCCGACTTCCCCTCCGGACCCTCCGCAACCCGCCGCCGGCCGCGCGGCTCCGGGATGGCTCCGCAGCCGATGAGGTGCGCCGCCGTGCCCGCGACGCCCCAGGAGGCGCCACCGAAGGAGTCCTCACGTGGCGCCCTGAAAATCTGGGCGCTCCTCGGATCCCCCGCGAAAAGTGAACAACTCTGAGCGGGTTACGTGGAATCGACCGCTAAAAAGCGAAAAAGCTGAAGAAAAAAAAAGTTGAGGAACCGGATGGCTGGGAACCACCAAGTTGTCTGGTGGTTTTCAATCAAAACCACGAGGAAAACCCACCCATCAAGGCCGAAAAACATGGCTGGAGGGAGCTGGACTCTGTGTTGCTCCGATGGCTCGGATCTCATATATTCCCGAAAACGACATCTTCCGGCAAGGTGGTTCTCCAAAGATTCGTATGCACAAAAAAGCACCCGACTTACTTTCAAATATCCATGGCTGATGGCAATTACCCTCCTCGTTTTCTTTTGGAGAGCCCGACATGGAGGAGCTAGTTTGCAATGGTTCACCAAACATGCGTGGCCCAGTGGCCCCACCCCAGACACTTTTGCCGTTTTGGGACTTTACTGCGCCCTCAATGTTTAAATCTTAGCAGTAATCCAAGTCAGCCTGGAAACTGTCTCCGTACAAACGTCGCCACATGGGACCCACATGCGACTGAGTGGCACTCAGATTGCTCCTCTCTGAATTTGCTGCTGCCTTTCTATGATTCCGGAGCTGGCTTCCCAATCTCAAGAGAAACACCATTGGTGCCAGCAAGGACTCGCAATGACAAAGACAACCAGGGTATTTGGAGGAAGAGACACTGACGTATTTCATCAGCTGCAAGTACGTGCAGGAGAAGATGTGGTTCATCAAAAGGTCCGTGATACATGGGATGACCATTGGTTGGAACACCAAGCTAAAGATGATGTGTCCAACCTGGAACAAGTTACCCATTGTCCAAGCTGGAGTCCAGGAATTTTGATCAACCCCCATGTAGGCTCTGGGGTCCGCTCACTTCTGGCAGCCAGCGCTGCCAAGTGGGCAAATTTTTCAACACCCAACTCGGAGAAAGCCGCGGGTCCCGCCTCGTCTCGGAAGAGGTTCTGACCTTTGACACCAGCCACTGGACCCAAGCCATTTTCCGGCATATCCCAAACGATGGAGGTTTGCCGAGCGTCCACAAATCAAATCCCCGGTTGCGATTTGCTCAAAAGCAGCCAGCATCCCTTTGAAACCACACCCAGGAAACTGTGACCATGGTATCGTTCGCTGCGGAGGCGGTGGTCGTGACTATTGACAAGAGTAAACAGCCAGCCCTCTAATTCCATGGTGTTTCAGGGCACACATGGAGGGGGAATCACTGGATTCCCAGCAAAGAGGCATGCTCCTTTCATCAAGTTCGTCTGCCAACCGACTGGGAGGATTGGTGACTGGATTCGTTTACGGCGAAACAAGTGTTCAACATCGCCAGTCGAAGCAAACGGCGAGCGGCTGGAGGAGTCTGGCATGGCAGAGTCCGTGCAATGGGGCCATCCATGAGCTCGTGGCGAAAAACTGAAAAGCGTGGCCTTGACCATGGGCCATGAGGAGCATCTTATGATCCGAAAATATGTCCGTTTAGAAGGCATATTCAAGCACTTCTGGTGCAAATGCCCTACAAGAAGCAACTATGAGGCAGAATCCTCGTCCGGCTCTTGGCAAATTTCTGTATGTTAGATATCGCTCGTGGGCAGCACCATCTTGCTTTACGTCGCATCATAGATCAAAGCTACGGTCACTCCCTCAAAGGTTTCTTGATGATCTTGCCGCGGTCAGCCTTCACGGTCAATACACTCCCTCTCGCATTGAGAACCGAACCTCCGGGCCGTGCATAGTCTTGGCCCACAAATTAAGAAGTGCCGTGAGATGCGTAGAATGCCCCGGCCAAAAGTTTTATTCGGACCTGAGGACGGCACCGTCATTCAGCCACAGAGCTCGCTGAACTCCCATCGAACTGCTTTGGCCCGGCGTCCACACGCGGATCTTCCGCTCCCAGTCGAAGACGAACAAACGTCCCCCGCAGAGGTCCTCAGAATGGCGGCTCTGTGAGGTCCTAAAGTAGTCAGGCCTGCTTTTTGGACAGGTCACAAGGGTCGCAAAAGCAAGGCAAGAAACGAATGTGTCTGGCTCAGCAACACCCATGCCACTCGCCACCAAGGCAAGCCGCCACGATAGCCCAATGCTACATGGCCTTTCTGGCCAATTGCTGTCCTAGCACCATGGAAGTCCTTGCTGCATCCAAACCCCTGCAAAAACAACCTTAATGGTACAGTGCATTCTGGGTTTGAACTTGTTTTGATCTTCGACTCCTTCACCTCCGGGTGTTTTACAAAAATCCGTGACAAAAATTGCAGGACAGCAGCAGCGGCAGCAGCAGCAGCAAACGAAGAAGACGACAAAGAAAATGATGATAGTGATGATAGTCATGATGATGATGATGATGATGATGATGATGATGATGAGGAGGAGGAGGAGGATGATGATGAGGATGAGGATGAGGATGAGGATGAGGATGAGGATAATGATGAGGATAAGGAGGGGGAGGAGGATGATGAGGATGAGATTGACGGTCACGACGTGATCATGGTGGTGATGATAGAAAGATAAAGAAACAAGTGATGGAATATAAGAACAGGAAGGTGTTACTGACCGTGCAAGCAGCAAATCAATTGTCCAACATGATAAGAGCCTTCCGTACATTCATGATAATATGGTCGTTGCAGCAGCAGAAGTAGCCAATATCCGATTCTGGAAACTTAGGCCACGCCGGGGCTGGCGCTAGGCCAGTAGCGAATCTCAAGCCCTGAGGTCAACCCACGAGAACACGAGGTATGCAAAGGCAAACATCTCAGGTGATAGCCGGACACGGTGCAAAATGACGCGAGCAACAAACACATTCATAGGTGGCTACAGGGGTAGTGATGGCATAGCATTGAAAAACCACCCTCTCAACGCATACAATTAGAAACGCACAAATAGCAGAAACTATTACAGAACTATAGTAGTGCAAACAGCAATGGCAACAACATATGCCATGGCAGCGAAGGACAGCTTATATATAGGAATGATAACGAACAGCAACACGTGGCAGCTACTCCTATGGTTGTCGAGGCGCTCCCAAATAGGCGCCCGCAATCCCAATACAGTAGGGACTAATCGCGACTAAGGCCAATGGGTCTCCTCTTTGGGCCCCTGACAACCATGGGAGCTACAACATGTGGCTAGTAAAAACTGTGGACAAAAGAAGGATCGCGGCAAGCATGAGACAATTATGCCCATTGTAACTCTCACAATCTCTTCGGTGCTGGCAAACGAGGAATGAAGCTAGGAGAAGCCACCAGCCAGTCAACAGTCCAACCAACCTACCAACCTGACAAACAAAAGCAACCAGATGCGCAAGGCGCGGAGCCATGGCATTTCAAAAACTCGGAAAGTGACTCCTCTCCAAATGCTGTAAGTTTGTTTGTGTGGGTATGTTTGTGTGTGTGTGTGGGTGGGTGTGGGTGATTGTTTCTGTGTGTGTATTTGTTTGTGTGCGCTTCTGTGTGTGCTTGCTTGTGTGTGTGTGTTGTGTGTGGTTGTGTTTTGTGTGTGTGTGTGTGCGTGTGCTTGTCTGTGTGTGAGATTGTGTGTGTATGTGTTTGCTTTGTGATTGCTTTGTGATTGTTTTGTGTTTGTTTTGTGCTTGTGCATTTGTGTTTGTGTGGTTGTGCGTGGGTCTTGTTTCTGTGTTTGTTTGTTTTGTTTTGTTTTGTTTTGTTTGTTTGTTTCTTTGTCTGCTTGATTGCTTGCCTGCCTGCCTGCCTGCCTGCCTGCTTGCTTGCTTGCTTGCTTGCTGGGGTTTGGTTTGGTTTGGTCTTTGTTTGGTTTGACTTGTTTTTGTTTGTTTGTTGTTTGTTTGTCTGTTTGTGTATTTGTTTTTGCTTGAGTGTTTGTCTGGTTGATTCTTTTTTGCTTGATTGTTTGTTTGTTTGTTTATTTGATTTTGATGGTTGGTTGGTTTGTGTGCTTGTCTTCGTGCTTTGAGAGCACCCTTTCCGGTTGGTTTACATGCAAATTCAAGGGAAACCACAACTTTTGTGGAACCCCCCCTTCCCCCCGCTCTTGGGCGTGGCGCCAAGCCCCTTCTGGCCACTCAGCCAATTGAGTTTAGCTGCCTGTAGCTTCGCATGCACATGTAGGATTAATGAGGACGACCAACCAAGTGACACTAAACGTCAAGCGTTTCGCAAAAAATTGTGGTCGAAACATGTTCAGCCTTTTGTGATTATCCCCCTTTGTCTTTAATCATCGGCAAATCAGGGGGCCCACCTGTCTCAGAAGTTGCTCCTGGGGGTTTGCCTGGTTCCCGAAAAAGGATCAGCCAATCACGTAGGGCGATCGATCAAACCGACCCCGCCCGAGACCGAAAATCATCCCGAGTGTCGCAGGACCAGCTCTCCTTTGGCTCCATGGCAGCACGAAGCGCTTTCGAAAACTTGAAGATGGGTTCGGGGCCTTCCAAAGGCCCCAAGGGGCTTGGACGCTATCTCACTTCCGGAGTGGATTGGCCAAAAAAGCCACAAACCTTTTTGTCTACGACTAAAATTGACTTCTCAAAAGTATAAAGTTCGGGAACTCAGGGAGTAAGCTATTGAAGGCAAAGCCAGATTATGATTTGTAATGTCAAAAGGGAAGGGCTCAGACGGTGTTTGGCTTTGCTGGGACACTTCCCGCAATATTTGCAAACCGCAACGCGGGTCTGACGCAGCAAACATACGGAGGGGATACGAATTGCAAATGCATCTGAATTCATCAGGCTTCCAAGTGTCTACACGTCTCGTCCCACAAAACACATCAAAGCACAGGTGGATTGGACTCTCGGTGCATGAAAAATCATTAGCCTGACACAAGGGATCCGAAAAAGAGGCACCTTCAGCCAAACATAACTTAAAATCCCACCCCAGGTTGCTGCTCGAATTGGCCGATTCAAATTGGTTCTTGCCCATCCGAGTCTAGCAGTCATTCTACCGGCGAGGGCTCTCTGCCTCGGCCAGCTGGCCAGCCGGCTTGATCCATCCGAAGCGCAAACCCCATGGCCTCTGGTTCCTCAGGGATGAAGCCAATGCAGCCGAAGCGAATCCAGGTTTGCGAAAAGGTCCTTCTGGGAGGGCATACTCCCATGGGGGCCCCGAAACATGGCGGCACAAATGGGAAACCCACGCGCACCAACCGAAGACATGATGATGGCAAGAAGCACGGCGTTTCCTGTCTTGGCAGCTACATAGATGGGCACATCACCTAAAAAGGGTACCCAAAAGAGCCCTCTGCGACTAGTCCCGATAATATTAGAGTTCGAGATTGAGTCTCAAACTTGCAGGAGAGAATTGTCTGATTCGGTGCAGCTTTGAGTGGCTATCACCAGCGCCTAAGAGAGCACCCTGATCGCCATGAAGCCCCCCGCTGGCAGGCATTTAGATCTTTTTCAGATTCCACGCTCCGCAGCAAGGGCCAACACCCGTCTGCTGAACCTCCGCAAACGCCAACCTCCGAGACGCGCACTCCTGACATCCCCATTCCCTCACTTCACCTTTGCACACTGGCTGGACAACAAAATGATGACCGTATGTGTTCAAAAGGATTTCTGCCCATCTGAACAAGTTCGCCCTTGACAAGCTTGGTTTGCCTTCACCAATGCTGACCTGTTCAGCAGTTCATGCATAGTAGAACTCCTTGAAGGATGTGCTGACGGGTGCCTGATCCCTAGATCGGAAGCCCCTTGCCCCCAAAAAAATCCTAACTTTGCTGACCGTCAATCTTCACGCCCCCCCGGCTGGGTCAAAAGCCGTTCTTGTTGGGTAGTTTCCAGGCTATTTGGCATGCGCAAATCCCGCAACTTTGCCTCTTCGGGCCACCCCCACCCAGCACACACACACACACACACATCTCTCTTCCCACCCCACGCCCCGTTTTTCGAGCACTCGGATTGCTGGGCAAGGCGAGGCACCCATCATGTTCACTCATCGAAACAAATGCGCATAGACTCGTGAAATTATCCAAGTTGCCTAGCCATTTCGCCCGCACGATGGGCGCCCGCACGAAGATGCTTGAAATTCGGCGAGCCAGAGCGGATTGCTTTGTGCGTGGATGGAAACTCCAGGCACACTAAAGGGGCATAAAGGTACAAAAAAGAGTTTGCTGCACTAGAGCACCCACTGCACCGACTCATGTGTGTGTGTGTCCCCTTTTTTCGGGGCCGAAACTGCGCGAATCAATACAGTCCTTGTTGGAAAGACCGATGGGTGATCAATCAGGCCTTAGAAGTCCTAAATCCTAACAAACACGTCTTCCTAGAAAACATGTCCTGCCAAACCATGCACAAGGTTGCAGCCTTCACACCCTCGACAAACTGGGAAGCCACTCATCCCAAGGCAGCAGGTTGCCAACTTGAGGAGCGGGTGAACGAAAGCTAGCAGTTGTTGCATGAGATGGGTCGGTGACAGAGTGGCTTCATAGGTAGCTTGTGTACAACGAGAGGCCCGGCAAGATTCGTAGGATGCGACACGCAAACGCACATGGTGGCGTGGCAAACCTTGAAAAATGAAAACAACGAGAGGCGTCAGAAGCTGTCTGAAAGCACCTCTGGGTTCTGCATGCTGCGTGTGCAAAGATTCTTGCGAGGTGGTTTACCGAGAAGACTGAGGTCTCAAATGAACAAGCTGAATCGGTGGAACATGTAAAAGTTCGTAGCACCAAGTCCAAAACGGGCAAACCGAGACTGCTGAACACTGAGCCACTGCCCGGGGGGGGGGGGATGGACCAGGGAGGAATCGAGCCTGAGACCGGGGGGGGGGGGTCTAAATAATTGATGGTTTTCAATCTTTTCGTCTCAAATAATTGAAAAAATCAATCTTTCGGCATTTGAGCCCCTCACCTTGCTTACGCAAGGAGAAACTTCAGCTAGCTAAAGCTAGCTTTCGTGACTTGATCAAGCCTGAGTCAATCTGCTCGGCACGCACCGCTCCAACTTGCCGCATTGTGAACATATGCCCCGTGCTGAACACAAGAGTTAAACACATGCGCGAGACAGCTCAAAGACACGCACTGAGCAGAGCAAGATGTGGGGCAACAGTGACTGAGCCCCGGGATGCAAAAAAACACGTCAAGAAGCACACTGCGGGCTCAAGTTTGACATGGACAAATCCTTGGCGGCGGAATTCCGACACTTGTGACCTGCACATGTGACATGTATGCACGCCTGCATTGGCTGTTGAGCAGGGTTTTCCGACATCTGACCTCTTGTCCCAGGTAACCGCAAGTTCTTGGCGATGGGATCGGACAATTTCTCCAAAGATACATGCCTCCCCTCAAAGCAATTGGACATGAAGCCCGGGATCTGGGGACATCTGGGGGTATCTTCGGTTGGGCAACACTCCCCTTCCTTTTGCTCGCTAACACGACAATTGGTTTTGGTAGTATCACTGTTGGCTTTTCATGCACGAGCTCCGCTGAAGTCTGACCAGCAACATGCTCAGGTGCGCGGCCTTTCCATCTCTGAAACTGGCTGAGACCAGCTGAGGCACTCCCTGCACGGTTTTTGCAGCAGTCCTCAGGGCGCCAGATGCTAGCACGATGGTCTATATACTATAGACCGGGAGGTCGGATGGAGCAGCAGTCGCCGCAAGGTAGCTCTGCACTCGAGTGTACCGGTTGCCCAAGAAGCCTGTTTCTTGCATTCATGCCCTACCTGCGTGTGGGGAAACTCCCGGGCGAAGGCTCGACGCCTGCTCGAAGTCCTTTCCGTGAACAAGGAGGACTTCAATCAGCGAAAGTCCCCTGCAACAAATACAACTCGTTCCAGTAGTGATAAATTCCCTTCAAAACCAACAGGGTTTAATAGCCACATACTCTGAAGCAAAAGGACAGAACAAAAGACGGCGTGCAACTTCTTTGGCCATGCATAAGATGGGGCACCTGAAATCCTGGCCAGCACGTAAGAACACGACCCAAGTTTGCTTCATCAAGAGGCGTAGCTCTGTCCAAGTACCGACCTCCTAATCCCTCACAATCGCAGAGAGCGCTCCAAACAAGCACGTCACTGCCATGCCAGACCTGGTGGCTTGCAAAAGCGGGAGCTGTTCTAGGGTTGCTCCTCTACTGGACAAAGGATTTGATGCATCCCCACCAGGTCTGGCTTCACTCAACGTCAGGCTCCGACAGTCGGAGCCAGGAAACCATGGCCTGAAGACCGGACGCCTCTCTTGCAGAAAGCCGCCCGAGCCTTGGAGTCCGGAAAGAGCCACAAGCACTCCCAAAATCGAACAGTGCAGTGCCAGAAAATGGCCAAACTGAGTACATCATGGTGGCATCTGGTAGAAAGCTAGAATTTCCCTATGTCTCTAATATATATATATATATATAGTAATAATTTGATAACAATACTACTAGGAATACTAATACAAATACCAAAACGAAAAACAAATACGAATACAAATGCCAATACTAAGACTAATACGAATACTAATAATGATCATAATAATAGTAATAACAATAATAATTAATAACAATAATATTAATAATAATATTAATAATAATAATATTAATATACATACGATTTACGCATGACATGTACGTATGTGTAGCAGCTAGATCCTTCGCAAAGAATCAACAAGCAGGGCCCTCAACAGTTTATAAGTCTGTCCTAAAAACCGTCCGCTGTCCGCGTTCCACAGGTCGGCTTGGACCTCCAGCAACATGTTTGCAAGCTGATTCGCAGGTTTAGAAAGGGGGGAACCTGTTTCACTAATTGGATGCGTTTGGGGGGACCTCTTCAAAGTTGTGGCTTTCCTTTTGGTTGCCCTTTAATCTCCCAAAATCGGGTAACCCCCAAAAAATAAAGACCTCTTGACAGTGATCCAACCCCAACCTGGCTCTTCCAACCAGCGCGTAGGTTCCCCTTTTGTGTAAGGGTCACGTGTCACGTGCTCCCTTTGGCATCTCAAATTCTGCCGAGGGATCATGATCATGATCGTCCCTGGTTGCAAGTGACCACGGTTGCTTCTTGCTCCCCTGCTAAAAGTGAATAACTTTTAGTGGTTTAATGTGGAAAAACATTTGTTGGCAAAAAAATATTCAGTCCTACCCTCTCTCCCACTAACATAGCACCTGTTGGAGGGTACCTGGAAGATCAATTTTGCTCCTGAAGGGACCCCGTGTGAGGTGCCATGTTCGGTGGAGGGAGGGTAACATCCCTTGGCAAAATGCACCCAAAGGGACACCGTCTACTTCTTCGGAGCCTCGGAAGTCCAGATACCTCTCTTCACCCAGGGAGCCCAAAAACCAGGCAGTCCCAAAGCCAGCGCCGTGTGGTCCCAAAAAACCACCTGTAGCAATTTGCCTGCTTTCTCGCATGTGGGGGGGAGGAGGCATTTGGAATTGGAGCGTCTGGCCTAAACCAACCACACACTTGATGTCCAAACTCGCCCTTTCGTTTCCCAGCTATCAGTGGATCGCCCTCTTAATGCCCCTTGGCTGCATCGGTTTCCCGCCTAAGGCCGCCAATGGCCATGAATCCAAAACCCTTCCTATGGCGGCAAGCCTAACATGCGCTGCCTATTTCTTGCCCGGGGCCAAGCGCAAATGTTGGTTTCCCCGCAGCCTTCCTGCTCCAGACAACTGGCCCCCTGCCTGGCTGACCTGCGTCATGGCTGCTGACCCGAGGGCCTCAAAACGTTCGACCGGCCAGCGCTCTTGCCTGAAGGAACCAGCGGAGTCCCGGAGTTTCCCAACGTCTAATCCAACTCCTTCCCGCTTGTTCCTATGACAGCTTGGGCGGCTTTACCTTTGGGGAGGGTCTCCGCATGGCATTTGCTCTTTCTCTTGTTTTTCTTGTTTTCAATAAACGGCATGACTCCCAATCAAAAGGCAGTGTCAGAAGTTTGTTGCTCGCGTGTCCGACCGTTCGGAGTGCGAAAGCCACAAGCCACCGCTTTCGAAAAGGCACCGAATCCGCACCTTGGGACTTTTACAGACTGACGCCCAATGGCCTAATCCTTCAAACAAGAATATGACTAGGATCAAGGTTGAGATCCGGCTGAACTAATGAGCTGGGGCAGGCCTGCAGCGACCCTTTGCAAGGAAAATAGCGACATCGCTGTTTGAGGGGAACATGCCCATTTGTTGCTGTTGTTGTTGTTGCTGCTGCTGCTGTTGTTGTTGCTGCTGCTGCTGTTGCTGTTGCTGTTGCTGTTGCTGTTGCTGTTGCCTCTGTTGCTGTTGCTGTTGCTGCTGTTGCTGTTGCTGCTGTTGCTGTTGCTGTTGCTGCTGTATCACCTCCCCCTTACAGGGGGGATGTCACACCCCCCCCTCGCGCCAAAGGGTGCTTTTTAACAGGCTACACGTGTGATGTGAGGGGGGGGACATGCCTGTAATTTCCTGGGGGGCATGAGCTGGGCACATCTGTAGATATCTCTGCAAGGTCTGAAACAGGTCTGTTGCTTGGCAAGGAAACCTTCAAAAAGTACACTTCAACCTGGCTGCGAAGTTTCAAGGGCGTTGTGCAAATATGCGCAGATATCCTCTATCGGCGGCGGCCGCTGGATTTGTGCAAGGCCGCACGCAGAGGCCCACGCTATCCCGCGCGCAGCTTTTTCCCTCGCTTGGTTGGCGACTAGAGTAGCTCATCTCCCACTCAAAGTTGTCCTGAGCCATGGCACGCTCATGCAAAACAGCCAAACCAGAATTCGCTACAATAAGGCCCCGCAGAGCTTGTGGTCACAATAACCACAGTTGTGCCTTGCTAGCTTGGCAGACCTTGCATTTCGTTCTTACCGCGCCATCATAAACCCTGTGTCCCCCAATCAAATGGTTTCAGACTGCTTTCAGACTCGGCTCAGACCTCCCTTCTGTCTACTCTAGTTGAATGGGCAACGAAAAGCGCTCCACCCCTAGAGCGTGCTGGATTCCCTCAAAATCTACAAAACAAAGCCAAGACCCCCACAGAATTTACCTCCCAAGTCAGCAATTTGCTTCTTCCATTTGGGCGCCTGCAATTGTCTTCAAAGTAGGTAAAAACTGCACATGTGGCCCTGAACGTTGACTTGAAAAAAGAGTGATGGTGGGCATTTCACAATACCTGCTACTGTCTGCTACTAATGAGGGCCGTGCTGGGGATGTTGCCGCTGCATCCTATCTTTCTGTTGAAATCAGACACGTTGCTTCTTACGTCTGGCTTCGGCCGGCTACTCAAACACCTGCTGCTATACAACATTTGGCACGGGAACAAAGTTTTGAGGTCTGAAACGGTTTGAAAACGCCTGGAATAGAGTACCCAAAGTTGTCAGTCCGACAGACAAGTCTATGGCGTACTTGCCCACAGAGCAAATCACGCTGCGATGGCAAACCAGCCCAGGGAAACGACCCGGCCCAGCTGGCAGCAAGAAGTGACCCTGAACCGTTTGGGAATCACTGAAGAATCGGGTGCTCGGCATTACTCGGCCAGTCAGGATCAACCCGCAGCTTATCCAATTTTAACCATCGTGCTTTGCCTACGTAGGTGTCTTCTTGCGAGAATAGATGACACTGGTCAATGGGGGGTGTCACAAGATGACAGTAGGGTTCCAAAAGGGCTCCCGCCACCTCTAACAACACTCAAACGATTAAACCCGAAATTTCGCACTGGTTGTGGGTCATATTGCAGGGCCAGACTTAGACCCCCTGCAAAAAGTCAATTGTTTGTTGGTTGTACGGGGAAATGAAACAAACTGAAAAGGGCAAAACTGCAAAAATGGTCAAGTCTGGCAGTGGCTATTAAAATGAGGGGGCGCCCAAAGTGATCAGTATCAGTTGATGCGTCTTTGCAAGGTTGAGAGGACCCTTTCCCGATTCGGTACCCAGCTTGCAAAGCTTGTTCACGCTTCTTCCATTCGGGCGCCCTTGCAAATGTCTTGACCATGCGGGAGACGTGGCCAGGCGCGCGCCAGACGCGCAAATATGTGCAAATCAGGCGCCCGAAAAGCTTTCCCAGAACCGGCGCCCGCCCCAGTGCCAATCCAAGCACAAAGGCTTCTGAGAGGAACTGCTTTGAATTGAAGAAGGTGAAGTTGCGTGATCTGAAGCAGAGGGTCCCCAAACTCAGGGAATATGATGGAATATGGACACTGAGACTGCAGGTTTTCCCGTGTCAAAGCTAGTCTGAAATTGCCTGCAAATGGCGTGAAAACTCCTGGAAAGGAAGCACAAGCATAAATGAGCACTCAATGGGCACGGGCTGACTTGAGAAAAAGGTGACTGTTGGCTTTTTCAAGTTGGGTCACGCACATTGTCATTACGTCTGGCCTCGGCCGATAGCGCAAACACTCGTCTACCCATTTGAAGATGTTTGCCCAGTCTTTGAGCACAGTAGTCATCAATGGCGCCTTTCAGCTTGCGCCAGAGACTCTGCATCTCCGGACCGGTCAGCTCGCCTGGGGCGATGGTCACATCCTTAAAAAACGAGATCTCAGCATCTCGGCACAAATTATTCACACAGCGACGCACATCCTCGAACTTGCTCTGGCGAACATCGCTACCGAAGAAAAGCTCCCCCAAGGCCATGCACAGCACCCGGATTTTCACAGTAATCCTGCACAGCCTCGCTTAGGCCAAGCGCGGACGGGTCCAAATCGCTGAGATGAATGGCGTTCAGCACTGTTTCTGCGATGTTCTTTGCAACGAAATCACCATGACCTGGCAGCGTCTTCAATTCCTCGCTTGCCAAAGACCCAGAAATACAAGGTTGACCTTTTGGATCCTTTTGGGGCCATGACTGAAAATGGACCAAGAAGGGGAAAATAAAATGTCAGAAGGTCGGCTTTGAACATCTGAGACTCATGGGCCAAGCCCAGATAAGTGCTGCAGCTGGCGCAAGAAGCCAGCAAGGGGCTTGAGACAGAAGTTGCCAAAGCTGAGCCAAGCAAACGCTAGCTCGCGCAGAGTTTGGGCCAGGTAACTTGGACACTTGCTGCTGGTGCCATTCCACTGTGTCCTGGGCCCGACTTAGACCCACTTACGGCAAAATCCAGGAAACCCAACAAAGCAAATCAACACAACTTAAGCTAAGTCTGGCAAAGCAGCCTGCTTGGCGATGAAGGCACCTAACTGCTCCGCGCTCTCCAAAGAGCAAAGGCCAACGTATGCCGAGTGAGACGGCGCTCTCCTGTCAAAGTTTGCCGAAGGCTATGAGAGCAAGGTGTTTTCTACACAGAGGCTACTAACCTTCCTCCCACACTGACTAACCGCAGGAACACGCATTGCATGTTCTGGCTCCTGCCCAAGGCGAACAGAATCTCGTGGCCCACGACTTCGTCCACACTTGCTCGTGTTGGGCCGAATCACCTTCCCCCGCCGCTTCTTCATCTCGCTGTCAACAAAGGAGCTTATGAGGGCATGGACAACGCGGTCCCCGCGCAGGACGCCGCTCGCAATCAGTGCACCCAGGCGGACGTCTTCTTCCAGAGCCTGGCCACTGTTGATCGCCGCCTGCGCCCCGCATGGTTGGGTCCCCCCAAAGGGAACAGGAACCTCCCTAATTTACAGTAATCTACCCTACTTGTGGCTGAGTATGCTTTGCTTACTAGCAACATTCTGGGCGCCCGCCGTAACGCACTTGATGTTGACCAGGGCATTCTTGAAACCTGCTGGATTGGGTTTTACCTGCTACTATACGGAACCCTGCTGGTGGCTGGGGATGTTGCTGCTGCATCCCATCTTGCTGCTGAAGACAGGGCACATTGTTTCTTACGTCTGGCTTCGGCCACACCTTTTGCTCCACTGGCCCTGTCAAGGGAACATACACGGAACAAAGTTTTGAGGGATCATCGCAAGTAAAGCGCAGCCCGTGCCCATTGAGTGCTCATGATGTTTGCCTCCTTTCCAGGTGTTTTTCAAGCCCTTTTCAGACGGTTTCAGACCATGTTTTTGACACGGGAAAACCCGCCGGTGGTCACCTTTGGTGGAGGTGTAGGGCAGTACGCAGGGAATTTCCCTTTGGCTCAGTTGCTGAAGCCAGCGCAAATCACACAACTTCTCACTTCTTCAATTCAAAGCAGTTGCCTGCTGCGCGTTTTTGAGGGATTTTAGACGGGCAGGTTTTCTGGGCGGGCGCCGGATCTGGGAAAGCTTCGGGCATCTTACTTGCGCGCGCCAGGCGCGCGCCAGGCGGCCGCGCCTGGCGCACACCTGGCCACGTCTCCCGCACGCCTGGCGATCATCCCCAGCATCACCAGCAAAAGCAGCAGGTTTTTGAGCAACTGAAGGTTCCAAAGCAGCAACCCCGCATGGTGCCACGAACAAGGCCCTGAGAACACCCCGTTCCTGCACAAAAAGTGGCTTTGAGCACATCCTGCCTGAAAGGCGAAGAAGGGCAATGCATCTTGCCCCGTCACGGACCCGAAGAGTCCTATACATCCCATGTTCGCCCAACCCTGGCCTGATCCTGGGCGGGCATGGCATCTTGCAACGCACCTGGCACGCAGCGCTCGCCTCCCCTCTTGCCACCTTCAAGGCCCTCAGAAAGGTTGCCCTGTGTTGCCCTTAAGTAACCATACACGATTATGCCCTGGCCTGGAACGACCGGAGGGATCCCCTGCTGGCCCTCTGAATTCTGCCGCAGCTCCTGCGCGTTCCAACGCCACGAGAAGGGCAATTGCAACCATGGTCTCACGGCGTGTCACGGTTTTTTGTGT